CGCCTCGTATTTCTGCACATATTGTGACCAGAGGCACGAACAGCTCCAGACTGTCTTGTCAAAGACGTTTGTATAGTGAACCACCTTGGAGGATAGAGGAGGAGGAGGTGATCTCACAGCCCCTCATCAAAGACTCAAACTCTCTGGACTCGGGAAATGACACGAATGTTACATTCTGCCTGTTACCCATAGAATACATTGTCTGAGGTCCAACAGTCCCATGTCTTCCTTCAGCATCCGTGAAACTGCCACAGGCTAAATTGGCAGCTAGCAAACAGGGTAAGATCTTAGACTCTTCACAATTATTTAAATATTCTGTTTATTGACTCTGGGGGGCGGGGGGGGGGGGGAATAGAAATATCAGTAATGAGAGAAAAATCATTGGTCAACTGCCTCCTGCATGCCCCACACTGGGGATTGAGCCCAGTGTAGGGCATGTGCCCTCACCAAGAATCCAACCATGACCTCCTGGTTCATGGGTTGATGCTCAACCACTGAGCCCCACCGGTGGGACCACAATTCTTGCTATGAGGTAGATTTAAGAGTGTACATCATGCCCTAACCGGTGTGGCTCAGTGGATAGTGTTGGCCTGCGGACTGAAAGGTCCTAGGTTCGATTCCGGTCAAGGGCATGTACTTTGGTTGTGGGCACATCCCAGTGGGAAGTGTGAAGGAGGCAACTGGGCGATGTTTCTCTCTCATCAATGTTTCTAACTCTCTATTCCTCTCCCTTCCTCTCTGTAAAACATTATTTTTTTTTTTTAATGAGTGTACATCAGCCCTGGCCGGGTGGCTCAGCTGGTAGGGATTTCCTCCCAGACACCAAAAGGTTGCTGCTCCATTCCACCTCAGAGCACATAGCTAGGTTGCAATGTTTCTCCCTCACATCACTGTTTCTTTCTCTCTCTCTCTCTCTCTCTCTCTCTCTCTCTCTCTCTCTCTCTCTCACCAGAGCAAAAACTTGAACTCCGTTTTCCCAAACCACAGTGACTCAGAGTCAGGATTAGAATCCAGGTCTCCTGTCTGTACGAATAGAAAATAGTACAAAATAGTACAGTGCGGGTGCTCAGAGTCCAGGCTTTCATCTCTTAATTGTCTAATTCCAGAAATTACAGCAAGACTGGCTTCTCAGATGTTTTGTAAACATTGAAGGTGACTCCTGAAAAATAACTAACACAATACCTAGCCCGTGTTAGGCACTCGATCGAGTAAAGCTGCTACCGTTGCTGCTGTTGCTTAGAAAGTGTATAACTGTGGTTATCATTCAGACAACTATCCTTAAGACGCAGCCGGGAGTCGTGTCGCGAACACCGGTGAAGTGTGACCCCCCACCCCAGCCCCCGGGGAGGAAAGGCTGGAGAGGGAAAAGGAGAACGCGGGAGTGCGCCCGGCCCGGCCCGGCCCCGCGCACCTCGCACCTCCCGCTCAGGCTCGGAGTCCTCGTCCGCCTCGCGCTCCCGCTTCACGCGCACGGCGGGCACCACGGGGGCCGGGGCCTGGCGCGCGCTCGCCGGCTCGGCCTCACGCTTCACGCGCACCGGGCTGCCGCGGGCGACCGGCGCCTCGGGCTCCCGCTCCCGATCGCGCTCCCGCTTGACGCGACCCGAGCTGGCCCGTGACTCGGACTCGCGCTTCCCGCGGGTGGACCCACGAGACTCCCGCTTGGACCGGCCGGACATCGCCACTACCGGCAAAGTCGTCCAGCGCGGAGGGCACGAACTCAGGAGCGCGCGGGAGGCAGCCAATCAGGAGCGGCGCTGTGTCCAACCAGGCCCTCTACGAGTCACCGAAGGGGACAAATCTTGCCACAGAAAACTAGGAAGTGCTGCGCCTCCAGCGGCCTCTTGGCGGCTGCGTGCGCAGCTGGGCACGACCTGCAGGGCTACTGCCAATTTGCCCCAAATTTCCAGCTTAAAAGGACTGGAACTTTTATTTTTTTTTGTTTTTTGCATTTTGGTTAATAGGCTTCTTTTTTAATTTTTTTTCTTATTTTTTAATTAAATTATTATCTGTGTACATATCTTACCATTGCCCCCCCCACCCCACCCCACCCCACCCACCCACCCACCCACCCACACACACCCTCCCATAGAAGCCCTCCCTCCCCAGAGTTTTGTGTCCATTGGTTTTGCTTATATGCAGGTATACAAGTCCTTCAGTTGATCTCTTATCTCCCCCAGATCTCCCTACCCTTCCCACTGTAATTTGACAGTCTGCTTGTTGCTTTATTGTCTCTATATCTATCTTTTGGTTCATCAGTTTATAATGTTCTTTATTATCCATAAATGAGTGAGGTCATGTGGTGTTTCTCTTTCATTGACTGTCTTATTTTAGGGACTGGAACTTTTTACTGGCTGTAGAATTTCTGGGTAAAAAAAAAAAAAAAAAAAGCCGTCCCTGGGTTCCAGATTTCTTCAAGAAACATTGGCCCTACAGATTTGGTTCAATGGATAAAGCGTCGGCTTGTGGACCTAGCTTCGATTCCGGTCAGGGACATGTACCTCCGTGGCAGGCTCCTCCCTTGCCTGAGCCTAGTCGACCTTGCAGGAGGTAGCCAATTCATGTCTTTCTCTCACTTCGATATTTTTTCCTGTCTTTACCTATCTCTTTCACTCTCCCTAAAAATCAATTGTCCTTGGGTGAGGATTTAAAAAAAAAAAAAAAATGCATTGTGCCCCCAAACCAAAATTAGGGGGTCAGTGCCTCGGAAACTGACACCCCTGCACTGGAGAACCAGACGACATCCCCCAAACACCCCCTGCCTGCAGCAGCCCGGAGCCTCTAACTACGGCCACATTTAGAGGGTTATTCCTGTAGCACACGGAAGTGCAAACATGGAACAGGGGGGACTTATAGTCACACCAATAAAGCTGCAGCCTGTGACTATCACGACCCGGAACTACTTTCTTTGTCAGATCTACTGAGGGGCTTTGATATACAATTTTTAAAGTGTCTGGCTCAGTGGATAGAGCAGCGGCCTTGGGACTGAAGGGTCCCAGGTTCCATTCCAGTCAAAGGTATGCGCTTTGGTTGCAGGTGCATCCCCAGCAGGGGTGTGCAGGGGGCAGCTGGTTGATGTTTCTTTCTCACTTATTTCTAACTCTCTCTCCCTTCCTCTCTATAAAGAATCAACAAAATAGCCCTAGCTGGTTTGACTCAGTGGATAGAGCGTCCGCCTGGGGACTGAAAGGTCCCGGGTTTGATTCCTGTCAAGACCATGTACCTTGGTGGCAGGCATATCCTCAATGGGAGGTGTGCAAGAGGCAGCTGTTCGATGTTTCTAGCTCTCTATTCCTCTCTGTAAGAAAATCAAAGTATATTTTTAAAAAGAATCAATAAAAATTTTTTTTAAAATAAAAATAAACCGCACTTTAAGTGTGTGATTGTCTCAAAACTGCCGGGATCCACTGGGAAACTGAAAGCAGGAAAGTTGGGGTGTGTGCTGCCCATCACTACCAAAACCAATAAGGAGAGACAAGGCTTCCATCTTTATGGACCTTTATTCCAGCAATCAGGACCATCTTACATCTCCTCTCAAGCCACACATTTTACAAGAAGGAAAGTATAGGTCAAGGGTTTGGAATTCAGGAGAAAGTAAGTAAAGGGTTTGGAATTCAGGGGAAAGGTTATTCAGATAAAAGCTGCAGCTAGTGATTTTCCAAGCATCCCTTCATCTGCGGGCTGGTGTCCCTTCATCTCGGGCTGGCGCCCTCTCCCCGGAGCACACGGGCTCAGATACCATCTAGGTGGCTCGCAGGCCTCCCAGGCACAATGAATTGCTGTGGGTCTCCTGAAGGCAGCGCAGGTCACACATTCCAGTCCCTGCAACAATAGCTTTCTACCGGCACTAATGTCCAAGCCTATTAACTATCAATCTAAAACTAAAAACTTTTTTTTTAAATGTTTTATTGATATTTTACAGAGAGGAAGGGAGAGGGATAGAGAGTTAGAAACATCGATTAGCTGCCTCCTGCACACCTCCCACTGGGATGTGCCTGCAATCAAGGCACATGCCCTTGACGGGAATCGAACCTGGGACCCTTCAATCTGCTGGCTGATGCTCTATCCACCGAGCCAAACGGGTCAGGGCTAAAACTAAAAACTTTTAATGTCTTGAGTTTCCCATCAAAACCAGCACCACAATCAAGATAATGAACCTACCCACCAGCCCCAAAAGTGTCCTCTTTGTCGCCTCAAGTTAGTTGGCGTCTTGTCGTTTCTGAGACAGGGAAGTCCAGGGCGGGTCCTTTTGGACGCTGCCCGTTTCCCTCCGCTGAGTTTATTTTTAAATTCATCGTCATGGTGTCAACAGCGCGTCCCATTGGGTTGCTCAGAGATGTTTGGCTGTGAGGGTGCACCACGGTGTGTCCCTTCCCTAATCACGAATTCCTAATCTTGTGTGTGTGTGTGTGTGTGTGTGTGTGTGTGTGTGTGTTTAAGGAGAAGAAAATGGCACACGCTCAGACCCCTGAGCACCCCTCCCGCGGGGGCAGCTAAGACACCCAGCCGGTGAGCGCCAGATCGGCGGACCGCAGAGCTGGAGCCGAGGCCGGGGCCCCGCCCCCTCACAGGCTTTCTGGAGGCGTGTGCTCTCCGGTCCCCGAGTACAAATGGGGAAACCGAGGCACGACGGGGTTCAGTAGTCAGCCGAGGTCACGCAGCAGGTGACAAGGTGCACTGCACCCTATTCCCCAGAGGAAGGGCGGGAAGGTTCCACGCCGAACCCAAGTGGCGTCGCAGGAGCCGAATTGTCAGACGTAACAGCAGGCGGCCCAGAGCCTGTTCCTCTACTTAGTGTCACAAAGAAAAGCTCCCCTCGGCCCGCAGCCCACCAGCGCTGGGAACTCCGCGTGGGGCGCTGGGCCCGGCAGCCCTTTCGGGGCGGAAGTGCTGCGTGCGAGGCCGGAAGTGCTGAGCTCTCGGGGCGGAAGGCGGCCGGGGCGGCGGCGGCGCCGGCGTTGGCAGCGGCAGTGGCGGCGGCCCCGCGCCCAGGGCTCCAGATGGAAGCGACGCCGGACTCAGGGCCGCGTCTCTGCTGTAAGCCTGGCGGGCGGCTGGACATGAGCCACGGCTTCGTGCACCACATCCGCCGGAACCAGCTCGCCCGGTACCGTCCCGCCCCGCCGCCCTCCCCCCTGCCCCGCCCGGCCCGGCCGCCCCTGACCCCCGCTCGGCTCCCCTCAGGGATGACTACGACAAGAAGGTGAAGCAGGCGGCCAAGGAGAAGGCGAGGAGGCGGCACACGCCCGCGCCCACCAGGCCCCGCAAGCCCGACCTGCAGGTGTACCTGCCGCGACGCCGAGGTGAGGCCGCCCGCCCTGCCTGCCTCCGCGCCCGCGCGATCCTCGGCGCCGGGCCCTCTGCCTCGACGCGCCCCCTTCTCTCTCTGGAAAAACACACACCACTCATTTCCCAAGGCTCGGCTCATCGCGGCCCTTCCCGGAACCGCCACCTCGACGCTCCCCAGCCTGCGCTCAGTGCTGCTTCCTGGAGAACAGGGCGGGTGGTCGGACGGCCCCCAGTTAAACATCAGTGTTACAGGACATAGCGGGGAGCCAGCAAGAAGTTGTCTGCCAGTGTGCCCCATCATACTGTATGTCCGCATTCCCACTGCCTCACAGAGAAAAGGCTCAGCACAGCTGAATAGGACAGAATTGTGGACTGAAGCCCAAACCAGCAAAAGGATTTTGTTCCCAGATTCCCTGAGACCTAGGCATCACGATAGCCAATATATGACGCCAGATTTGTTGAGCATTAAGGTGTCGTTAGGTCTTATGTACGTTGTCATATAGTTATCATAGGCCCCATAAGGTAGGAGGAGCTCTTATTTATGTTTCACAATCAGAAAAACGGGCACAGAGGCCCAAAATCTCAAAGCTCATAAATGACAGAGCCTGGATTTGAACAGGGCGGAGCTCTGTCCATCTCTCCTATACTTTCCAACCCTAATCACTAAACTAATGTGTATCATATGCCCTCTGTGTGACAGGACTGTGCTGGCCTAGAGCAGGAATGCAGAGGTACATGAAACTGGCACCACATACCACATACAGGCACACGTAGGAAAAGACTGGGGCTTTTATCTCTGTGGTCAGGGCTCCAGCGGCCTTCCCCTCTTCCTTCTCACTCTGGTTCATCCTTCCAGATGGCTCTACCCACCCCAGCAACCCAGACTGTGAAGAGTCCCGTGAAAGCAGCAGTAGTGGCGGCTCCGAGCCAGAGCCTTCTAGCCGTCAGCTCTTCTGCTTAGAATATGAGGCGGACAGCGGAGAGGTCACATCTGTTATCGTGTATCAGGTACGCCTGGTGGAAACAGCTACAGCCTGAAGGTTCCCTGGAACTGGTAGAAATCACTGCCAGCCCCAAGCCACTGTTTTCCTCAGGGTCAGAGGGGAGTGCCTGCTCCACCTGGGGGCATAAGCTGCTGGGCAATGCTTTTGAGCACAACTCCTGTCACACAGGGGTCCTCAGCGTGCCACAGGGAGGGCTCATGGCCCTCAGCTGAGAATCACTGTCCCAGGGGATACCTGGGAAATAGCAGGCACTGGCAAGTTTGAGTCAAATGGAGTTCTTTGAGAGAGTAGTCTAGGGACAGGGCAGGTGGCCTTTCCAGAAGAGGCCAGACCCTGAGCTTCCTGACTCTTCCTCCACGTAGGACGATGATCCAGGAAGGGTGAGTGAGGAGGTGTCCGCACACACGCCTCTGGATCCACCAATGCAAGAGGCCCTCAAGTTGCGCATCAAGGAGGAGATGGCAAAGCGCCAGAGCCGAGACTGACCGGGCGGAAAGCATTCCCTCCAGGCTGGAGTCACTGCCCAGGGAGCTCCCTAGTTTGGGGATGCCAGGACCAGTCTGGGCTGATCTTGACGCACAAACACACCCCAGAGCTGCTAGAAAAGGGTGTTGCAGGGACAATGCCTGACCACCTTCCTTGTATATTGGCCCATTGATTATCCTGAGTTGGAATTTTTGAGAGTTTTGTTTGGCTAGTTTGGTGTTCTAGAAGCAGAGATTCCAGGGAGAGCCAAGGTGTATGAACCTTATGCCAACATGCTGCTTTCTCACTGAGTTCATATGCCCTGGGATACCCGGCACTGCTGTTCCACCCAGCTCCGTGAGCCGTGTTATTTTATGGTTCCTTCCTACCGTGCTTCTGCTCATGTTCATTCATATTTTCCTAGATCTGTGTTGTTGTTGTTTTTTTTTTTTCCAACTGCTCCTTAGTTCTTTCCTTCATCTTTTTGTCTCCACGTCCATCAGTTCCATCCCGCTCCTCACCTCCCAATGTGACTGCACCTCCAGCTGCTCAGGACTTTGGAGGTTTGGGGTCGTGGGGGGGTGAGGGGGAGGACCTACCTTTCTGACACGCTCTCCCAGTAATCCTGATAGCAGCACAGTGAGAGATGTTCATTTTTTAGGCCAACTCCCAAATATGTCTCCCTCCCCTGCCATAGCCTTTTCAGGTTCTGTCATGCGCCACTGCTTTACACTGTCTAGATAAGGAGACCTAAGAAGATGATGCCAAAACTAAACTGCAAGGATTTCTTGCAACAAAACCTGCCTTGGTTAGGATTATAGAATTCTAGCTTTCAGCCTCATCCCTTAAAGGGGAATTATCAAAATATGCTTAAAACTGCCTCTCCACATGTGATTTAACAGTCTGGAACATAGATACAAAGAGCAATTCAACAGCAATAATTGCCTATTTAGAACCTTAGTTGCGGAGTTGGGGCGAGGCCCAAACAATGTCTCAGAGGAAATGAACCTCTCATCTGCTCTTCCCTGCCCCGTTCTCTTTTCCTGCCTCCTAAGAGTATAGAGTCTCCCAACAGATCCTTATAATAAAAATCCCAGGAGTATCAGTGCTTTCACTTAAGTGAACGTTTTTCCTAATGCAGGGTCAGGCTAAAGATCTGAGAAATCTCCGCTGCAGTTCCAAGCCACTTCGGTTTTCCAGTACATTGGAGCCTTTTTTGTAATTTGAAATTTGGGGTTTATGTGAACCCATGAGCGCTGAGACTTCATGAAGCCAAAATCTGCCTGCCCCAGGGGTTTCTCCACATCAGGTCTCAAGATCAGTCTGTCTGGTCCATCTCAGCAACTTTTAAAAGACATCTGAGGCCACTCTTAAACTACTTATTCAAGTGCAGGTGGCCAGAGCTTACAGTGCCAGGAACGTCCGTGAGGTGAATTAGAAAGGCCTGGTGGTGGAGAGACCAGAGGACTCCTACCCACAGAGCTGGCCCAAGGTTAAAAGCCTTAAACTTGCCGGTCCTGGGCTCCGTTGTATCCTTAAAGGAGAAAGTTTGCCCTCTATATTTAGTTGGAATCAAAGTGCCTTTTAACATAACGTTAACTACCCTCCAGAGCCTGGGTCAGGGGGGCTGTGCCATCATCCCAGTTTCCCTGCAGCTCAGAGCACCAGTCATTTTAATCTTCCATCTCTTCAACTGATCTGACTTGGACATAGGATTTCGCTGGAACTCTTAGACTTCCCAGTCTGGAAATACTTTGGGGTTCATCTTCTCACTGCTGGATGACCTGCTTCCTGGATTTATTACAAAATTTAGAAACCAGACCAGAAGAGATTTTAGCCTCTCTTCCTGTTTTGTGAGAAGAAAAGTGTGTCCCTATTGTCTTTCTCTGTTTGTCATGTAATCTCAGGTAAGAAACTATTGAGAGCTCTAATGTGTAGAATTTTTCTTGCACTCTGCATATCAAGTGCATATAAAATATTTTCCACTCAAGATAGATCTAATTCTTAATTTATGCAGTCTGGGTATATAAAGCACTGAGCCTGGTACTTAAATGCAAGGTTGTCCTGCAGAACAGAACTGTTGGTGCTGAAGCTGCCATTGTTCTAGGCGTGCCTGAGATGCTTCTCTGGTGATGGCCCTCAGCCAGCAGACAGCTTTTTAGCACAGGCTCATTGCTTATTTTGCCACCCGTCACCTGGGATCTAAGATGGTATTGACCAGTTTATTCACCAGACTTACCTCCAGGCATCTGGCAGCTGTTTTCAAAAATCGGTGCTTTGCCATGAAGGACAACGTTAGGAGCGTTTCCACAGGCTAGAGATCTGTCCCGCAGGGGACTGTCCTGCCTTGTGGAGCGCAGTGGCAGCAGTGTTGGACTGGCTGGAGCTTTCCAGCAGGCTGCTTCAGGTTCAACACTCTTGACTAGATACATTATTGGCTGTCTTAAAAAAAAAAAAAAAAAAGTCTGGTAGCCTGATAGGCATATCTCATGTCCATCCAAAATTAAGTGTTCCTTCACTTACTGAGAGTTAAGCCTTGGATTTTAAGGTTTTGTGTTTCCTGGCCCAAAATGGGTAATGTTACAAATAGAAGGAAGCTGGGGTTTGCATAGGGCTTGGGCTGTGCAAAAATAAACACTAAAGCTTGAGTTCCAGCCAGTTGGCAAACATGGAAATCTTTGATGAATATAACGCAAGCAAAGAATGTAAAGCTTTTTGTATTGAGTGAGAGAGAGTGGGAATCTGGAGCCTGGCCAGACATTAGGAGGACAGACCAGCGTGGGCATTAACAAATGCTCTCTATGGAAGAGCCTTTGAAAGAGAGATTCTGTCTCCATGGTCTACCCTAAGGGGCACTCCCAACTAGCGGTTAGCCTGTAGAGCTGGAAGAAATCCTTTGGGGTAGTGGGTTCCAACCTGCTGTGCATTTGGTGTGGATGGTCAGGTAGTGGATTCCCAGCTGACTCATAAGTACAAATGAAGGCTTTACTACAGAAAGAGGAATAAAGACATTATTTTCCTACCTCGGAGCCTTTGGGAGAATCACCATAGAAAGTTGAAAATTATTCAAAATATTTTAAGCTCTCTCTTTGTATTCCTGTCCTGTTCCTGAGGAATTTGATGGCCAACGAGCCATAGGCATCCAGCCCAAATTTCCCCAGTGATTGGAGTGAAGCTACAAGTGAAAACCTGCCTTCTCAGAGCCACCAGAATGACAGACTGGTTGCACTGATTACGTTATGGTGTTAAATGTTTAAAAAGCCATATAGTCTGTTTTCTTGTTTCAAAGTTTCTGCTATATAGATGAATAAAAAGTATGCAAATTATTTGAAAAATCCTGAAGGGAAGGTACTTTTCAAAGACTGTAATTTTTTTTTTTACCAATAAACATTATTTTTACAGCACTGTTTTTGTCAAGAGTTGTGAAATCGTCTGTGTGTGTAGGGAAGTGAGGATGAAATGCCTGCTCCTAACATTCAGCACCACAGAATCAGCACTTGAAATCTCGTCTCTTGCTTAGCCTGTTTTAAGAACTGTCCTGATGGAAGTGTAACTCCCGTAGCTTTAGAGCTGGAAGGGACTTTGACTTCGGGTTCTACTTCTTGTCTAACTCCCCCCTACCAACTCCCCATTCTCACAGGGCGCTCTAGCGGGGTAATTCCTTACTCATACTGTCATATTAAGCCCAAATCATCCTCCTCACAGCTCTGGAGCACCTGTCTACCCACTTTATGTTAAAACAGCCAGCTCTCACAGGTCTTCCTGGGATAAAGGTTGGACAGGAACACAAACCCAGATCAATAAGATATAGTGTTGGTTATGAATGGCAAAGCTATTAATGTAGTAGGAAATGCTGAGGGCTCGTGACAACATTGGGCAGATGAGAAACTGGGCTTGCACCAGTGGGAACACACCGGAGTCAGAAGTTGGTGTCTGTGAATTAGAAAGAAGCTCCCCTTTTTCCTGAGGCACAGAGCATGGCTGGCAGAAGGTGCTCTAAATTTTACTCCCCACTGGTCTGTTCAGCCCAGTGTTCTTGTACAGCAATGGCTCTGTGCCAACATACTTTACTTGTCCTGATGGGATTTGGCAAAGGGCCCTCCAGCAGGTTTCCTTTTTCCACTAATTTTTCCCCCTTTTCCATTTAAAAAATATATATATATTTTATTGATTTTTAATAGGAAGAGAGTGATAGAGTATTGGAAACATCGATGAGAGAGAAACATCGATCAACTGCCTCCTGCACACCCCCTATTGGGGATGTGCCCACAACCAAGGTACATGCCCTTGACCGGAATTGAACCTGGGACCCTTCAGTCTACAGGCTGACACTTTATCCACTGAGCCAAACCGGTTTCGGCCCCTTTTCCCATTTTTAACTGTCACTGGGTTCAAAGGGATTTCTCCTTTGTCAATGCCATTTCTGGTTTATCTGCTCCATTTCCCTAACAGTACCAGCCATTTAACCTTTCCCTAAAAGGGCCTTCTGGCAGCCTGGGCCCATGCTCTCTTCAGGTAAATGATCTGTTGGCCCCAGTGTTGTCTGGGAAGGGCTCTCAACAGACAAGAGATGGGCTTCCTTTTAGAGCGCTAGGCACCTTCTGGAATGTGCAAAGAAGTATTCTTTCTGCTTTTTTAATTAGGAAAGGAACCAAGAAGGCACTCTTGGCCTGTAAGTTTTTGTGAAGCTGGAGGGGTAATTTATTCCCACACTCGTCTGCTTCCTTTTCCCAAATTGCTCTGGGTCGCCCACCTTCCTGTTACCTACCAATACCTGGCCATGTGGGTCTACTCTACTCAGAATGGATAATCCATTGGTTAAGTGTTGAGCAGTTAGGAAACATGTTTTAGACACTGAATTCTGGACAGTAGTATTCTGTCTGCTCGTTCCCTTGAAAATGCATCCGGTGCGAGTAGCATCCTCCAGAATTTGCGGAATCAAAAGCATAAGCCAAATCCAGGGCGCTTGACTGGAAGGCATAGCTAAGGCTTCCCTGCAGACCGCTGCCTGGGACAGGGCAGGCACCGGCGCCAGAAGGAGAGATAACCTGAACTCGCACTTGCAGCGGAATGTGCCCTGCGGCGGCGCAGGCTCCCTCAGCCACGTGCGCCAGGGCGATCGCAGGTGGAGCTGGAAGGTGGTGCACCCCCCAGCCTCCCGCCTCCCGAAGCCTCCACAGCAGGAACCCGGGCCACAGGACTATTCTTCCTGCATCTCGGAGACAGAGCTGCCCTTGAGTCCCACGCCACGGCCCCCATGCCCAGGTTCCCCCGAAACTGGGGCGCCACCCCCTTTCCACCGGGACTGGGCGCGGGGCCTCGGGAGTTGTAGTCCTGGGCGGAGCGCGGGGCCCTTGGGCACCGGCGGCTCGGACTCCACGTCCCGGCGGGCGCCGCGGCGGGGCCCAGGGGGAGGGCGCAGGCGAGGGCGAGGGCGGGGCCGCCGGCCCTTTAAACCCCCGGGGCCGCTCGGAGGGCCGCAGCCGGGACGGCGCCACGCGGGGCTGGACAGCGCGCCGCAGCCGCTGGGCGCTCCGGGGAGGTGCGTACTGGCCCCTGCTTCCCGGGACCCTCCAGGGATCACAAAGGAGGCTCCTGCCCCGGGTCCCGGGACTCGCCTGCCGCGGGCTCCGGGCGCCTCCCCGGGCGGGGGCCAGGCTGGGCTTCCCGCGGGAGCCGCGCTTCTTCAGGGCGCAGTGGTCGCGGGTTTGCGGGCGTGTGGCCGCCCGTCTACCGGGCCTGCACCCACCCCGGGCTTTCCTTTGACTCGGCCCCTTGGCCGTCCTTCCTGCTGCTCGGCTGCCAGCCCCGCTCCTCAGGGGAGGGAGGGGGACTCGCTGTCCAGATGTTATCGCGCCACCTAAGCCCCTGAGTGCCGGTGACTTGGGGGTGGGACGCGGAGGCCCCCGGTCGGTGTCAGCGGGTGGCCACGTTCTGGCGTGGGCTGAGCTCGGTGTGGGCACTCCGGGTCCCGGCGGGAGCTCGGAATCAGGTGATGACCACCTTCCTTTCCCCACCCATACCCCGTGCCCCCGCGGCTTTCACCACTCACTGGACCCTGGACTTTGACCCATCTCTCTCCACCAGGCCGGGGCAGTTGATGGTTTTGGCGAAGTATCTTAAGGTAGCTGGGACTGCCCCCCTCTTCCCCACCTACCTCTTGTCATCCCTCCCACACCACCACCACCCTGGCTCCCCTCCCTCATGACCGCCTGGATCCTCCTCCCGGTCAGCTTATCAGCATTCTCCATCACTGGCCTATGGACTGTGTGAGTAGAGGGGAAGGGGGAGACGACTAGGAGACAGAATGGGCCCAGGCTGAGGAGGGACAGGGCCCCCACCAGGACCCAACAGGAGCTTGGTAGCGCACACAAAGTCCCTTGTCCTGTTGCAGGCCGCAGGGTGATACCCCCGGACACTCTGGCTGTCTCCAAACCCTGGCCTGATGCCTGGACAAGTCCCTTGGGACAGGCTGGCACCACTGCTGTCCAGCAAGGTGGCCCTGACAGGCATACTTTTAGCCAGGGCAACTTCCAGAGGGCCTCTTGTTTATGGCCATTGCTGTGGGTTCTGGTGTGGTGGCATCAGGGCCATCCCAACCTGAGTCCCCGGCAGGGGCAATGATTATGAACGGGGCCAGAATCGAGGGAGAAGAGAATAGTCGGAGGGGGAAGGCTGGGCTGGGCTGGGCTGGGGTCATGGGGTGACAGTTTTGTTCCCACAGGTATGCCATGGCCGTGATGAACCGCCACGTGTGCCCTGTGGAGAACTGGTATGGCGTACTCTGCAGACAGCCTCACTCTAAAGCTCCCTTCATCTCTGTTCCCTCTTGGGCCGGGGCTGCTGCGAGCCAGACGGAGACGCGGGGTCACTGCTCTTCTCTGACATTGGCGCGCCTGCCCCCCCAGGCATGGCTTCGTGCCCACTGCTTTCCACCATCCCTCTGCCCCCTTGGCTTCTGTCTCAGGCAGGCCCTGGGAGGTGGGCTCTCCTGCCCGATAAGGGAGGTCCAGGAGGGTGGTCTCTGAGAGGCCTGATGTACAGGCCAGGGGATTCCCCCAATCTACTCTGTCCTGCCTCCAGGTCCTACAACGAGTCCTGCTCTCCTGACCCTACTGAGCAAGGGGGTCCCAAAAGCTGCTGCACCCTGGACGATGTCCCCCTCATCAGGTAAGGCCTGGAACTGGGCAGATCAGTGAGACCCAAGGCCCTGATAGACTCCCAGCCAAGCCCCTCCAACGGGCCTGACCCGAAGGATTTCACAGGAACAATAATTATATTAAGAGCACTTAGTAACAGTACTGCTTTCCAATTACTATGTGCCAGGCACTGTGCGGAACACGTTACATGTATGACGACTAATCCTGCCAGCATTGGCGCAGCTATTGTTCTATTTTATGGGCAAGGAAACTGAAACTGAGTTATGTCGTCCATTCAGGTCACATGGCTAGTTAGTGGAGCTGCCTGGATTTTTTTACTTTTCATATATTTTTATTGAATTCAGAGAGGAAGGGAGATAGAAACATCAATGATGAGAACCATTGGCTGCCTCCTGCACACCCCACACTGGGGATTAAGCCCACAACTTGGGCATGTGCCCCAATGGAATTGAACCTTGATCTCCTGGTTAACAGGTCGACACTCAACCACTGAACCATGCCAGCCAGGTGACATACCTGCGTTTAAGCTCAAGGCCTCTGATTGCCTGGCCCACCTTCTGGCTCAAACCAGCTCCAGGCCTTAACAGTCTCAGGGAGTCCAAGGAGTCTTGGGGTTTGCTAAGCAATCCTGGGTCCTCGCTAACTTGTCACGCACATCAGCTCTGCTTTTTCTTGTAGGGGAGGGGGTACCACTGAGGACCATTTGTTTGTGAAAGACACTGGTCCTTCTCGGTGGCTTAAATTGGGCACAGATGAAGCAAGAGAAGGCAAGTGGGCCAGAATGGGGGCCCTCTGGTGCGCCTGCCCCTCTCACTCTGTCCTTGCCCCCTCCCCTCAGCAAGTGCGGCACATATCCCCCAGAGAGTTGCCTCTTCAGCCTCATTGGCAACGTGGGTGCTTTCATGGGTGAGTTGTGCCCTTAGCCCCTAGCCAGCCCAGTCCAGCCCACCCCAACACCCTTCCCCCCAGGAGGGCGCAGGAAGCCCTGCTCAACGCGGCCTGCCCAACCAAGGGCTAAAGCTAAAAGGGCCACCTCTCTCCCTGCTCCTTAAAGACTAGAGGCTGACCCCACACAGCCTGAGGAAACCCAGTTCACCACCCCCATCTGTTCCCTCTGGCCCTCAAAGTGTCCGGAGGGGTGAGAGAAGCGGGCTCCTGGACAAGGCGGGGCCAGAGGAAGGCACTAATGCCGGCTCCACCCATGCTCTTCCCCAGTGGCCCTGCTCTGCCTCCTGCTCTACGGGCAGCTCCTGGAGCAGAGTCGGCATTCCTGGATTAACACCACGACACTCATCACAGGCTGCACCAACGCTGCAGGCCTTGTGGTGGTTGGGAACTTTCAGGTATACCGCTCCCCAACCCCTCGACCTCTTGAACTTCCCCTGAAATGGCTATCTGCAGGGACTCCTAGTCTCCTGAGGGTTGACACAAGCTGCAGGGGGTGGGGAAGGGGGTCTGGGAGGGAAAGAGAAGGGGAGAGGGACAGGGCTGCTTCACTGTTCAGCACCTCCCCCTGGGCCCAGGTGGATCATGCCAAGTCTCTGCACTACGTGGGAGCTGGTGTGGCCTTCCCCGCCGGGTTGCTGTTTGTCTGCCTGCACTGTGTCCTCTCCTACCACGGAGCCGCCGCCCCTCAGGACCTGGCGATGGCCTACCTGCGGATTGTGCTGGCAGCCATCGCCTTTGTCGTCCTGATCCTCAGTATCCTTCCAGGACAGGGCCGCCAGGAACTCCTCGAGCCCAGCCCTCCTCTCACCCGAGATGAGGGAGACCATCCAGGTGGTCTCCGCTCCCTCTCCTGGGAGTCCAGGGCCCATCCTTTGCCCCAGCCTAGTTATATATCCAGGAAGGCGGGTGTCTTCCGTCCCCACGGGTCCTCCCGAACGTTTCCTTAGCACCGTTCCAGGCGGCGTCTTCTTCATCCACGAGAGCTCTCAGCTGCAGCACGGGGCAGCCCTGTGCGAGTGGGTGTTCGTCATCGACATCCTCATTTTCTACGGCACCTTCTGCTATGAGTTTGGGGCCGTCTCCTCAGAGACACTGGTGGCTGCGTTGCAGCCTGCTGGCCGGGCCTGCAAGTCCTCCGGGAGCAGCAGCACCTCCACTCACCTCAACTGTGCCCCCGAGAGCATCGCCATGATCTGAGGGCGGGGGAGGGCGGCTGGCCCAGCCCCCAGTACTCCCCACGTCTTCTCTGCATTCATTTTGTACCAAAAACAATTCTGAGAAAGTATTCGGTTGGGATATAGGCTTCCTCGCTCTTGGAAGAGTGGCCATCCCACACCCACCTGTGCCATAGAGGAGCGGGCCCTGGCAGCTCCCCACTCTAATACTGTCTTTATGTTTAAAGGTCACACATCCTCAGTCACCCAGCCACCCTTCAGGTGCCTTTATACCCAGTGCCCAGGTCAGACCACTGGGGTTTCCTGCTGCAGGAACTGGGGGCTGGGAACAGCAAGAGGGATAGTGATGGGGGGGTGGAGGGGGGGTGGTGAGCACACCTTAGTCTGTGGGAAGGCCCACTTTGGGGCCTACTGAACTGCACTGGGATTCTTCACTCTGCCCCTTATATTCTTTAGGGCAAGTAGCACAGCAGAACCATGTGGGAATTTTAGTACTTTTATATATATATATATATATATATATCTATTAAAATAATTCTGATTTGCATGTTTGTAGTCTGTTTTGGAGAGTCAGAGGGCCTGGTTTAGGACAGCTTTCCCTAGGCAAAGAACACCCGTAGGGAGAGTCCAGAGTGCCAGGTGCTCTGAGAGCAGGGCTGCCTCCAAAAAGGATGACAGGTACTAGCCAAACATCCCTCCAGGGCTTGAAACCCTTTTTGGGCTAAAGAACCAACTATCTGATCATTTCATAAACTTTCCCCACTCAGAGTCTGGTTTGAAATTTGATTCCTTAGGGGGTGGGGGGTGGGGAGCATGTAAAGAATGACTTTAAAAATGTTAGGAACAAAAAGAAAGCGCCTGGAATTTCAAGGTTAACTAAAAATTACAGGGGTGAAGGAACGCATCTACTGGGTGCCAGATCATGACATTCTGCTTTCCAGCCACGAACACATAGACCCAGTGGCCAGGTTCTTGGCCTGGGCTCCACTGCCCTCAGGCCGGCAGGCTCGGCAAGGAAGGATGTGCAGCCTGGTGCCTTCTGCAGTCCAGGCCCATCTTCGCCAGCAGCAGGAGGGCCCCAGTGGAAGGTGCAATAGGCCCTAGTCTAAGCAATGCAGCCGCACGGTGTGTAAAGAAACCTTTAATGAGGGTCTGAGGTGCAAGAGGAGGACGTGGAGGACCAATGAGTGGTCCCAGCTGCTTCACGTGTACATGGCTTCATGCAGGCTCTCCAGTCGGTGCTTCTCCTGCTGCTTGCGAGCCTGAAGGAAAGAGGCGGGGGGCCATAGCGGAAGGCCTATGGGTGAACGGATGGGCCAGCTATCATGGAACTGGCTCACACTGTTTTCGGGCCCCTGGCATCTGGGTGCTCTTCACTGAAGTTACTGAGAAAGCAGCCAGGGCCCAGGGGGCCTGAGGCCTCCCCAGCGTTGCTGAGTTGGGAGATGAGAGCATCGAGGACAGCCAGAGGGAGCCACCCCCGCTACTTACACCAGCCCCTACCTTATCCCGTTTGTGCTCTTCATAGGTATCATCATCAGTGGGCAGTTCATGGCGACAGAGCGGGCAGGAGTTTGTCTGGGGGGAAAAAAACCCAGCAGTGTTCTAGCTCAGGTCTGGTCTTTCTAAGCTAATATCCATCCCCTGCTCCCAATTCTCATCCTGACCCTTCTTCCTTCTCTGATTCCCCCAACGGTTCATAAAAATAAAGGGGTTGGAGAACTGGGCAGGGTGAGCAGTACCTTGCTTAGCCAGGGCAGAATGCAGTTGGAATGGAAGAGGTGATGGCAAGGCATCTCAATGGCAGTCTCCTCCTCCTCGAATTCCAAAAGGCACACGGGGCACTTGAGCTCTTTAGGAGGGAGGGCTGATCAGGAGAGCTGCGACAGCCCCACCTCCCAGCTCCCACTCACTCCTAAAGCTCACTTGCCCCAACCTGGCCTGGAAAACTGAAGGGCCAGTCCACAGTCTGGCTTGGGGGTGGAGGAGGAGTGACAATAAGAGGGGTGAACTCTGGCAGACCTGCCTCAAAGAGCATAAAGAATTAGTGTTCTCACCAGGCCGAGAGTCCCTGATGACGGTCCTGGGGAGGCTCTCAACCGCAGTCTTGGCAGCAGGTGGAGGCAGGTGGTCATCCCAATCTACCAACCCCAGGTTTCCAAAGTCCACACTGTTGAAGAGAGACCTGCACAGAAGGACGCAAGGTCAGAAAACCATACTATCTCCTTGCCTCCACAATTTACCCGGCGTCCATAGGTTAACACCCTCTCCAGCTAGTTAACAGCTACCCCTATCAGTACCCCAATCACTAGATTAAGAGCAGAGCGAGAAATGGTTTACAGCTGCTGTCACAGCCCCAACCACGCAGGCTGTTTATTCCCATTGTGCAAATGAGGCAACCAACAGGCTCCGAGAAGCTACTCGGGCCACGCAGGAAGGACCTGGGAAGCCAGATTCCAAGTGACAGGGCCGGCGAGCTTGTGGTTCCTCCGCCCGGCCACGCCCCCACGGCTCCCTTCGCCCACCTCCAGCCCGACTTGCCCCAATCCACCAGCTCGTCTTCCCGAAACCCCCTACCCGGGAGGCCTGCGGTCGAGCCAAAGTATCCACTTTCCCTCAAATCGAGCCTCCGGACTAACTCCAGAACATCCATCCGTCCTCCCCTGGACTCTGCCGCCCCGGGTAACCCGCCTTCCCCAGCCGGCCCTGACCCAGACACGTGCGCCCGGCGCCGCCGCCCGGCCCCGCGCACCCACCTCGCGATCTCCAGCAGGATGTTGGTTCGGGCATCCCCCTCGGGGTCCAACGACTCGCAGTCATGTTCGTCGAAGTAGGACGCCATCTCTGACACAGCAGTGCCCAGACCCCGCGGACTGCGGCTTCGCGGCTCCAGCCAATACACTAGCGAGGTGAGAGGAGGCGGCCAATCAGAGCATCCGAAAGGTGGGTGCAGTGGGTGTTTACGCGCACGGAAAGCGGAAGTATTAACGCTCTCACCTCTCATTGGCCTGAGTAAGTCAGGTGACCAAAGGCTAAAGCCAATGGCAGGGGCCGGGGCTGATGAGAAAACTTTTATTTTGGAATCCGAGCCCAGGTGGATAGGTACGGGGAGTGAGGTGCGGGCGCCCTGAAAAGCCGGGTGTTTGGGAGGTAGGGTGTCCTCAGTCGGCTCTGCGGCTCAGAGGGCCTCGGCAATGCAGACGCTGAAGGCCTCTCAGGCGGAGGCACTGGTCCGGGGGCGCAGAAAGGACTCTGCGCTTCCCGCTGCCCTGCCTGGGGCCCACCGGGCACTAATGCACCCCCTGAGCTCTAGTTGGTTCAGGAGTTGGCTCTTGAATCCTCCCCTATCTTCCCCCCTGCCCCGTCCCCCAAAACACACACACACACACACACACACACGCACACACACCCTTTCTAAAGGCTCATTTTCAACCAAGAAAGGGAGTATCCCTGATGGGGAATCTAGGGCCTTAATTGCTCCTGGCTATCAGTGTGACCTTCAGACCATTGCTCAACTTCTCTCCTTGATCCAATAGAATTAGCGGTTTGATAAAATAAGTAGTTTGTCTTAAGGTCCCAGAAGGAGGTACTCGGGAGGCCAAAAGTGGTAAAGAATTATTAATTTAGCCGAACCGGTTTGGCTCAGTGGATAGAGCGTCAGCCTGCGGACTGAAGGGTCTCAGGTTCGATTCCGGTCAAGGGCATGTACTTGGTTGTGCGGGCACATCCCCAATAGGGGGTGTGCAGGAGGCAGCTGATCAATGTTTCTCTCTCCTCGATGTTTCTAACTCCATATCCCTCTCCCTTCCTCTCTGAAAAAGTCAATAAAGTATATTTTTTTAAAAAGAATTATTAATTTATTAGGTCATCAGAAAATTAGATGGGCTGAGCACCCAGAGAGGGGGAGTTAGACTCTAGGCAGGTTTTTTCAGCAGGGAATTGCGAATCCTGGGCAAGTACGAAGGAGAAGTTACTGGTCTCAGCAAATGGGATGTGGTCTAAGCAAATGGGATGTGGTCTAAGCAAAAGGGATGTGGTCTATGCAAAAGTGAATGTGGCTTGGGAAATGACCTAAAGGTCAGTTTCCCATGGGAGGTGAGATCGATTCGATTATTTGATCAGATCTAATAGATTGCATCCCTGACTACCCATGAGTCTCCTGGAGAGGGGATTCAGCTTCAGGAGAAAAAAAAAATTATTTTTAGATTTAACCCTCAAAGATTCTGATTTAACTGATCTAGGCCTGGGTGTGGTATTTTTATAAGTTCTACATGTGATTCTAATGTGAGGCAGGGTTGAGGACCACAGCACTAAATGATTTGATTTACAGCTACCATTTATTTGCCACCTAGAACCCTTACATTGATGGATATGGGAAATAAATATTATTATCCCTTTTACACACATAAAACCCAAGCCAAGGGAGTGACTTGCCCAAGTTCATGTGGCCTCTAAGTGAAGGCCAAGTGCTCTCCTCCATCTTTCCCAGGGCCAGGAAGATGGTAATAATCTCACTGGGAGTGTTACCAGACAGGGACCTGGCCGGAGCTGGTTTGCTGCATGGGCTGTAGTGTGTGGGTTCTTAACTTCGTCGTGTAGGAAAGATTTCACTACGCAAGTCCAGGTGCTTTTGAGGATATGTTTATTAAAGCTGGGGGAAGTGAAACAAGGAACAGCTTAGGATGGAAGAAGCCATCTGAGAGAGCCTTGGCAGGGCTGCTTTGGCTCTCTAGAAAAAAGTGAGCCAAGGAGAGGCTGCTGTCACTGGAGAGTCAGAGAAAATGGGGCCTTGGAGAGAGGTTCGGGGCAGGGCATTAGCCTTGGACGAGCCGCCACTGCCCAGTGCTCCCCTGGTTACAATTCTCACGGGGTTCCTTAGGGTTTAGGAGATGCATGCCTCCGGGGAAAGAAAGGCCCGGACATATTCCTGGGAGGGAGAGTGTACACTAGGGTCCTAAGTTTGGGGGGTTTTAAAGGCTGAGGGTTTAGGGGAAGTTTTAGGGAAGGATCTCATTAGAATATTCCTCAGCTTTTCCAGGTGTATCCTTTCAGGATTGTGGTCTCCCCTGATTGGTCGGTGCCAGGGCAGAGGATCATTAGTAATCGAAGCTGGTCCTGGTGTCACCCATCTGATTTTGCTGTTTTTCCTAAGCCTGAGCTGAAATACAGCTGAGGCCTAGGTGTTACCTCTAGGGAGGAAAGGTTAGGGAGGTCTAACCTGCATAGATCCCAGCCATCGATATGCCAAGGCAGGAAAAGCCACCCTGGGTTTGAGGTCTGGCACCAATTTTGCTCATTGCTGAACACTCGGGGATTTCTGCCCTCGTGACCTTGTGTAACTTGACGGGAAATGCTTGGCCAATTTGTTCAGCTCTCTGTCTGAGTTTCCACTTGCCAAGGAATTCTCCTAGCTTACTATCCTACCTCAGAAATAATAAGCTCTTGCTCTAGCTAGTTTGGCTCAGTGGATGGAGCATCAACCTGCAGACTGAAGGGTCCCCAGGTTCGATTTTGGTCAAGGGCATGCACCTTGGTTTCAGGCACATCCCCAATAGAGGGTGTGCAGAAGGCAGCTGATCGATGTTTCTCTCTCATGGATGTTTCTGACTTTCTATCCCTCTCCCTTCCTGTCTGTAAAAATAAATAAAAAATATATTTTTAAAAGAAGTAATGAGCCTGACCGGTTTGGCTCAGTGGATGGAGCCTCGACCTGCGGACTGAAGGGTCCCAGGTTCAATTCCGGTCAGGGGCGTGTACCTGGATTGCGGGCACGTCCCCAGTGGGAGGTGTGCAGGAGGCAGCTGATAGATGTTTCTCTCTCATCAATGTTTCTAGCTCTCTATCCCTCTCCCTTCCTCTCTGTAGAACATCAATAAAATGTGTTTTTAAAAAAAGAAGAAGCAATGAGCTCTGGTGAGGGGTCCACACAGCACTCAGGTTTGTTCTTATTTCTCTTCCAGTAGCCCTTTCTCTCTACTTAACTAGGAACTGCTTCTGTTACACATTTGACCCTGAATTCTCCTTCCTTCCCACACTTGAGTTTGAAATGCAGTTAAGTCGCCCAGGCTTGGGTTACTCTGCATCCACAGTCTTGGCAGGGCCTTCTTTCCTTCTTCCAAGGCCTTTACCCAACGATCTCTCCTGTGGCCCCGAAGGCACTGCCTTCTTGTCCCTGTGTAGCCCTGTAGCTTTAAAAAGCCCAAATCCTCTCCTACAGGGCAAACTCCAAGCCATCCTTTGTTTTTGTTTTTTTGTTTTTGTTTTTTGGTGTTTTTTTAAAAATATATTTTATTGATTTTGTACAGAGAGGAAGAGAGAGGGATAGAGAGTTAGAAACATAATGAGAAAGAATCATCGATTAGCTGCCTCTTGCACACCCCCTACTGGGGATGTACCCGCAACCAAGGTACATGCCCTTGACCGGAACCGAACCCGGGACCTTTCAGTCCCCAAGCCGCAAGCCATCCTTCGTACTGCATCACAACACCACAGAAACCCTTCCCGGTTTCACCACCACCTGCCTCATCTGTGATCCAATGCAAAGCTTGAGGAAAACCAGGGGCAGAGAAATTGGGAAGGAGGAAGTGTTCAGAGGACAAAAAGCCTAGCCTCTCACCTTGTGATATAAAAATCATCTGAAGTGCTTCCCTCTTTGTCATCCCATCTGGAGTCCCATTGGTCCTCTGAGCACCCCACAAGACATCAGAATAATATCAGATTTCATTCTCTGGGAAACGGGCTCAGCAGACACCAGGTGAAGGGTCTGATTTGGGGGCGGTTGTGCCTTTATCCCTGCACTGCAGAAGGACCTGTCTGTGCAGGGCTGGATCAAGTAGGGAAGTGAGAGGAAGGAGCCACTTCACCCGGATGGAGTCCTTGGGGTGGTAGTCTTTCTAAGCAGCCCAAGGGGTGGAAGCAGAGCAGAATGAACAACCTGGAGACCTACACACACACACACACACACACACACACACACACACACACACACACACACACACACACATACACACACCAGCTGTTAACCAAACAGCACTTTTTAACCAAGCAGCAGTGTTTACTGAGCTCCAAGTGGGGCTGGCCTGGCATGGCCAGTGCAGCAGGCTGCCCTCAAGGGCCAGTCAGTGGCGTGATAGGAGATGCAAAGGTGCACACTTTGGAGCTGCCCTCAGGCGCTCACTTGGGGTGGCTCAGATAGGAGCAGGTGCCAATGTTCTTTGGGGACCAGAATCAGCCAGTGTGGCCATTCAGCCTCTCCAGGCCCAAGTGGGTCAGCCCCCAGGGCTCGAGGCAGCACCTGAGTCCTGGGCCTGTGGGCCACTGCTGCCTTCGCTTCTCTGTGGGAGAAAGATGACCAGCAACACAATCAGGATGATGAGCAGGCCACCGCCCACCACCAGCCCCAAACAGACACGCCAACGGATGTTCTCCCAGCGCTTCTTCTGGGCCAGGGTCTTGGTTGTCTTGCTGAACGCTGAGCTCTGTAGATGTCCCCAGACACAGGACAGGAGTTAGTGGTTCCCTATAGACCTGAAGCCAGCTCCTCCCAACCCTCGTGACCTGACCTGCTCTCACATCAGTGCCCAAAATTGAGTCCCTTTCTGCCTGGAACCTCAGCCTTCCTGACCCCAGCGAGGTGTAGTCTCCTCCTGCATCTTTTCCATCTGCCTGCTCCCTCTCCCCACATTGCCTCCCAACCTGACTCCTTGTCTCAGACCCTGGTGTAGCCCTTAACTTGCAGGCCTTTGGGCTAACCTTCGGTTAACAATGCCAGTTTTCAACTTCAGGAAGCTCCACAGCTTCAAACCAAGGCCTTCCCATTGCCTATCTAGGCTAGGGGTGTCAAGAAACTCACTGGCCCCACCCTGGCCCTCCAGTCCCACCGAGGGCCTGGAGGTCCTGAGCACAGCCTATGAGCTCCCTATCAGGACTCCCGCTGGCCTCTTCCTCCCTCCCTCCCTGCTTCCCCAGGCCTCACACCATGTCCAGGAGTTGGTTTGAACGCTGCTCCAGCTCCGAGAGTTTCCCATCGCGCTCCAGGACCTTGTCAAAGTTGTTGAGCATGATTTCCGTCACCTCGTCCGCCTGCTGCTGGCACTGCTCCAACTTTTTCCCTGCCTGGGCACAAAGCCCAAGGTCAGGGCTGAACGAAGTCCCCACCCGGCCCTCCCTCACCTAGTCCTGAAATCTAGGTGTGGTTTTTTTTTTTGTTGTTGTTGTTTTGGTGTGTGTGTGTGTGTGTGTGTGTGTGTGTGTGTGTGTGTGATGTATGGCAGGGGAAACAGCATCTTTCATGTAAGGCAGTGTTTCCCAAATTGTGGTCCGCGTACCCCCAGGGGTACGGGAAGCGTTTGGTGGGGGTACGCGTTGCACCGGAGTTTGGTGGGGATATGCACTGCACCAAGCTTAGCTGCGCCTAATCCTACGTTCTCATGAGCACGAGGGGTACTCAGCGTTATGAAAATTATAGAAGGGGTACACATATGTCAAAAGTTTGGGAAACACTGCTGTAAGGATATATGTGTGGAGTAAAGGGCCCACCTCCTGGGTGTGGGTGGCTCACAGGACCCTCCTCTTGGCCATCAAAGCAGGTCCTAGGTTAGCCAGCTTCCTCTAAGGATGGGATCTTCCCAGAACCCCACCCTTCCACCAAAGCAGATACTTTTCTCTCCTGCTCTAGCATAGACCTCTAATCTATGGTTCTAGAATGGTACACTGGCCCTTTGGCTTCCCCCAGCAGAGGAAACCAAGCTACTTAGCTAGAGGCCAGATAGAAAGACCCATTCCACAGAGCTTGACATGTAATTCTGGACCATTGCACGTCATCGCCTCTGCCTAACCCACAGACACACACAAAGACACAAACGGAGATCAGATCTCCCTCCTTGGGCCTCTGAGTGGTCATGCCAGTTCTGCCTCCTTGCCTGCGCTGCCCACGTCAATACTCGAAGCTAAGTCCCTTTCTGCCTGGAACCTCAGCTTCCTGGCCTCTGACCTTTGGCCTCCCAGCTAGCCAGGATCTTCCCTGGTGTCCAACTCACACAGATGAGATCAGGCTTGGATCTTATCCAACAAAAGTACCCAGCTCATTTCAGAGGATTGGTAAGGGAGGTGCAGGGTCCAATTTGGGGGAGGTTGGGAGGACAGGGGAGAGGAAAAAAACATGGGTCACAAACAAGAAAAGAACTGGGCTTTGGGCACGTGCAGCTGAGAGAGACCCAGGGCAGGAGGTCCTGGTTGGAGAGCTGGAGGTCCAGGAGCAGGTTGAGGCACAGGTCGGGGAGATGAATACGAGAGGATTAACAAACCACAGCAATTCCCTCCTCCCATCCTAGTTCCCCGCAGCCCATCCCTCTTCTCCTCTCCTCTCCACAGAACACTGGCCAAGCTCCCTTTCCTGCCACGCCGTGTTGTCCATTGTCTGCAGTAGACACTTTGGCACTTGACTGAATTCCACTTAAAACCACAGAAAGGGGCCGGAACCGGTTTGGCTCAATGGATAGAGCGTCGGCTTGGAGACTGAAAGGTCCCGGGTTCGATTCCGATCAAGGGCATGTACCTTGGTTGCGGACATATCCCCAGTAGGGGGTGTGCAAGAGGCAGCTGATCGATGACTCTCTCTCATCGGTGTTTCTAACTCTCTATCTCTCTCCCTTCCTCTCTGTACAAAATCAATAAAATATATTAAAAAAAAAAAAAAAAAAAAACACAGAGAGGGAAGGAATCTGGTGGTTACAGCGGGCCACCTCCTACTCAGGTAAGAATCTTCATTCAGGATCCTTGCGCACAACCTCCAGGCATCCCCAGCTCATGAGTCTACCTCCCCAACTGGGCCACAAGCTCCCAGAGGGAGGGCAGGGCCCAGTGCCCTTCCTTTGTCTGTCTGGAGTCAGGGCCCGGGAGACCAGCACAGTGCTGACCATTGCAAGGACTCGGTGGGTGAGTCATTTGTGTTATAGCCTGTCCAAAAGCAACTCTTATTTTCAAGAGCTGTTACCCCCGCCTGTTTATCTAGCCTAGCAGGCATTTCGAGGGGTGGCTTCAAAAACCCGAGCAGGTCAATATTTGCTCATGAGCTAGAAAAGAACTATTTGCTTCAAGAGGCAAACCATGGTAGACGGGTATACTCACCGGCCAGGGGAAGCAGTACTGAGGAACAGGGAGGAATAACAAAGAGAGCAGGGAAACCGTACTCCTCTCTACCACATCATGACCACTATTACGATGACTAGATTATTCTACAAGGTTCCATTATGTGGAGTCGCCCGCGTTCAAACAGTACAAGGCACCCACACATTCAAATTGTCCCAGGCAAAAACTTGGGACTGGACAAATATTTGAAAATGAGAATCACTGCTAGAGGTTGGTGGGACGTTGGATATTTATTTTTTCTACTCTGAAGACTACAGCTGTTGTTTTTCTCCTGCATGGGGTGACACTGGGTCACATTCTCTAGGAGTGCTGGCTGGACCTCCCACTGCAGTCTGCAGCCTCCTTCCCCCACTGAGCACCAGGCCTGTCTGGACCCCAGATGGGCCCAGGCCTGAAGGAACACATTTGCTCCAAGGAACATGAAGGTCTTAGGCTCAAGTCTCTGACCCTCCTTGGCCCCATTCAACTATAAAGAACCACAGGATGTGGAAGGAGGTAGCAGCCAGAGATCAAGGCCAAGCTGCCTGCTGCCACATTGAATGCAGCCTAGTGCCTGGCACATAGAGACATTTGGGAAATATTTTCTGAATGAGTTGTGCCTGTTCTTAAGAAGATCCTGCCCTAGCCGGTTTGGCTCAGTGGATAGAGCGTTGGCCTGCAGACTGAAGGATCCCAGGTTCAATTCTGGCCAAGGGCATATTCCCAGGCTGCAGTCTCAATCCCTGGTGCGGGGTATGTAAGGGGCAGCCAACCAATGATTCTCTCTCATCATTGATGTTTCTCTCTCTCTTCCTCTCTGAAATGGGTATATATCCCTAAAGGCCAAGGAAAGAGACATATACGATACAAGTAGAGAAGAATAAAGAGTTACACTGGGAGATGCAAATAGGGAGTATTGGAGCTGCCCACAGAGGGGTGATTCCTGAGAACCTTCATAGAGTGGGTGGGGTGAGCCTTGAAGAATGGGGTGGACTGGGACATTCTTGAGGGCTAGGCAAAGGGTAAGGGTGGAGGGGCAGGGTGGGCCAGAGAAAAGTCAAGAAGAGGAAGTGCAGGTCCTGGCTGGGCAGCTCAGTGGTTAGAGTGTTGTCCCGATATGCCAAAGTTGCAGGTTTGGGCACATACAAGTATCAACCAAATGGATGCATAAATAACTGGAACAAAAATCAATCCATCTCTCTCTCTCTCAAATCAATAAAATAATAATCAAATACATTGTAGAAGAGAAGAGAATGCTCATTTGGAGGGAGGGACGGTATAGGTCTCTGAGCCAAGGGCGACACTGCAGAGATGCTTCAGGATAACTTATCTGTGGGTGGTAGGCTGGCATTTCTGGAAGTGAGAAAACTTAAAACAGAGAGGCCAGCCAGACAGGGTGAGAAGAGAAGTGCCATCAGGGTGAGATGTCCATTAGCGGTGGGGAGAGGGGGAGGCAGGGAATGTATAGGATGGGTGGGGGTGAGAGGCACTTCTAAGCCCTTCCAGGTACATGAGCAGGGGGAGAGCAGGGAGCGGTGTAGTTGGCAGACAGAGAGTGGAAGTTATACAGGAAATGTTATTGACAGACAGTTATCCTCTGCACAGAATATCCCTCCTTGGATACTCAAATGTCCCATTAGATTTTTCCAGGCCAAATTTAGCCCTTGGTTCCTTTGAAAACAAAGCTCTCAAAATCTCCCTAACTCTCCTTCAAATCCTGCCTCTGCCATTCACCGCTGAGTACTGCAGACCAAGGACATGAACTTTCTGACCTTCCACTTCCTCATCTATAAAGTGATGACAATAATAATATCTACCATAATGTTATCTAAGACATGTGACATATTATAAATAGCATCTTTAGCACAATACCTGACACACCCTAAACACTTGTTTAATAATAGCTATTCTTACTGATTTAGCCCAACTTTTCCTAGCTTGGTTTTTTTTTTTTTTTTTTTTTTTTAACAGTCAGATCCCAAGCTCTACACAATACTGGTGCTCAATATAATCTTTTAGATATTTTTTACAAAATATACATCGAAGCTAGCTCTTCTTTATGGTAAATGTGTGCCCTTAATTGTTTCTAACCTAAATACAGAACGTTATAATTCTTTAAAAACATATTTTATTGATTTTCTACAGAGAGGAAGGGAGAGGGATAGAGAATTAGAAATATCGATGAGAGAAACATCTATCAGCTGCCTCCTGCACATACTGGGGATGTGCCCACAACCAAAGTACATGCCCTTGACCGGAATCGAACCTGGGAATCTTCAGTCCATAGGCCGGTGCTCTATCCACTGAGCCAAAACTGTTAGGGCCTAAGTATAGAACTTTACATGGGCCTTTGAGAACCTGCATTAGTTTATTTCCACCAGGCGCTAAAGGCTATTGAAGTAGTAACAGCCACCATTCAACCGAAACTACTCAAAGCCAAGCACTGTGCTGGCTGTCAGCTCACTTTATCTCATTTAATCCTCACAATAATTCATTGAGGAGAGTACTCTTATCCCAGTTTTAAGAGAAACTGAGGCTCAGAGGGGTTAAATCACCTGTGCTAGGTCACAGAGCAAGTGAGGAAAAGAGCTGAGAGTTGAACCAACGGAGTCTCCAAGGATCACATTCTGAACACTTGTGCTAACCTGAGTGCAGACAAAGGGAGGCCAAATGCTTTAGCTGACTGGCTAACAACTCAGCAGGCCTTTTGATGCTGACCACTCAACTTGTATGCATATGAAGAAGGCCAAAACCCAAATTCTTTGGACAGTACATGAGAGAGGACTATCTAAAAGATGAATGAATTCACGTCATTATCCATTCAATTTCCGTCTTTCCTGTCACTGTTCCTCCTCTACCCCTGATAGCCATCATTATGTCCAGCACAACGGGAAACACAAGGAAATATTTGACTGAATGAATCAGAAGGAAAAGGAGGAAGGCCCAGGTAGGGAAGGGGGTGGGGAAAAGGAAAGGAATGAGCTGTGAGCAGAGAAAGGGGCAAGAGGGAAAGAACAGAGGAATTGGGGTGGGAGATGGTGGGTGGGTGGATGGGAGGTGGGGAGGGAGCGGGGGATCAATGTATTCTTCCCAAGCTCTAATCTACCATTTGCCTCCAATGAACCTGTGAGAGTCCCAGAGTTTCCCTCAACACATTATCCTGCTCTCAGTTTTCATTTCAGGAGTTCTTTCTTCCCCCCAAATGCTAACCCCTCTCCCTGCATGATCCCTTGCCCTGCACACTGGGAAGTGGGCTCTGGACTCGGTCCCATTCTCAGAGCCTCCCTCAGTTTCCTGGCGTGCCTTTTCAGCTCAGCACTACCTTCCTGCCCAGCTTCCTCTTCCTGCCTCCAGTTCCCCGGAGATGAGGCCATCCAGGCATGGCAACCGCCAGCCGGGCCTTTCCATCCCACCTCTGCCAGCCTCTCTGCAGCAGCACCATCAAGCACCAGGCCTGCTTCCTGCTGGGCCCCTCTTCCCCAGGGGAGGGGAGGGCAGCAGCTGGCACCACGTGTTCCACCTTTGCCTTGGAGATGGCAAGTGAGGACAGAGGCCAGAATCTGCAGCCAGGGTGGCGGCGTGGCAATGACTCAACTTTGCAATGTGTCCCCAGATAGGGATTAGAAGGAGGGCCTATGCCACACTCGGATAACCTCAGTGGAAGGTTTTCTAAGCAACTTCCTTCCTCTTTCACCCCAAAAACCTGCCGTGGGGCTGGCTCAATCTCCAACCGCCCCATCTGCTCAGGTTCCTAACGGGGGGCTTGACTTCTCACAGCCCCAGAGAGGGCTGAGGCGGTCAGCACATTACCTACCCCTTCTCAGGAGGAGTGCCAGGTGGGTGGGTACTGCCATGCTCTCTCCTTTCACCTCCCACGGACCTATCTACCGAGCAAGGCAGGTATCGCTGACCCACTTCTCGGGGGAGGAAAGGGAGGCTCAGGGAGGTTAAATGAGTTGCCCCGGGTCACAGAGCCGATAAGTGGCCGCCACCTGGACTCAGCCTGCCCCTGCAGCCAGCCGGTGCTGGTAACCACTTGGCTCAGAAAGTGGATCCAAGGCAGCCGGCTTGGGGCTCAGGCCACACTCTCCCTCCCTCGCTCCAGGGCAATCTCAGGGGTTGACCCTGCCCGGCAGGGTTACCTGCTGGGGACTGCAGTCTCGGGGTGACGCCCCCAGCCCCTCAAGTGTCACACCCTCTTTGCTCGTCCTCTGCCCCTGGCCCGGCCCACCCTGCCCTCGGGGCCCTCACCATTGCTGCTGCTGCTGCTGCCGCCGCTGGGCTCGCTGCTGCTCCTCTGCCCAGAGCGGCCCCGGTGCCAGAGCCCAGGAGGAAGCGGAGGGGCGGGGCAGGGCGGGGCGGAGGGGGGGCGCCTTTCCCCACGACCGTGACCAAGTTCAAATTAAACCGAAAGCAGACGGCAGTGGCGACCAGGGCCCTTAGGGCGCCTCCTCCCGGGCCAGCGGAGCCAGCTGCAGACTCCCCAGCCTCCCGTATTGGGGCTGAGTTGGAGCAGCCAGGGCCCCACGTGGGTCCTGGAGCCGGCTCTGAGGGCCTCTCTGGCACTGCATCCAAGACCAGGTAGACCCGGCTTACCTGGGGTGGCATGATTCCTTCATTCTAGGGGGCTGTAGGAGCACCATTGTCAGGCACTGTGCCAGGTGTCTCCAGGGTCTTGCCCACCGTGGTGAGTGCATCTCACCCACCTGTAACCATACACAGACAGACCTCCCCTCCCCCCCAAAGGTTTTGTAGTTTTTTAAGTATTTTTTACTAGTCGATTGATTTGAAAGAGAGAGACATCTATTTGTTATTCCGCTTATGGATGCATTCATCAGTTGCTTCTGCATTCCTATGCTCTGACTGGGATGGAATCCCAGCAACCCTGGCGTAAGAAGACAACGGATCCCCCCCGGCCAGGGCCAAAAGTTTCGAAACTGAAGTTTATTCACAGTAAACATAGTGAATGCACTCCCTGCCACTGAACTGTGCATTTTTAAGTGCTCAATTGTATGTTCTGAGAATTTCACCTCAATTTAAAAAGAAAACAGAGCCAAAACCGGTTTGGCTCAGTGGATAGAGCCTCAGTCTGCAGACTGGGGGGGTCCCGGGTTCGATTCCAGTCAAGGGCATGTGCATTGGTTGCGGGCACCTCCTCGGTGGGAGAGGGGGTGTGTGTGTGTGCAGGAGGCAGCTGGTCAATGTTTCTCACTCATCGATGTTTCTAGCTCTCTATCCCTCTCTCTTCCTCTCTGTAAAAAAAAAAAAAAAAAAAAAATCAATAAAATATATTAAAAGGAAAGAGACCATCGAGGAAAAGGTGCAGCTCTAGCTTTTCTGTATTTCCCAGGAGGCCGAGGGCAGCACTGCCCTGACGTGATCCCCATCCTCAGAGGCTGTGCGAGGTTGGTGGTTGGCTACCCCTCCGGAGCCCTCCCAAAGGTGAATCTCCCACCTGTGTGCTCTCCTCGTGCTGCAAAAAAGTCAAAGCCACCTCTTCACCCCAGCCCCTGCCACCCTCAACGTATTAAATGTGGTCCCTCTTGAGGGCTCCCTCCCTGGGGTTGAGCCCCTGTGAGCACAGACCCAGCCCTCATCCTGGACAGTCCGGGTCCCAAGGAAGAGGTTTCAGCCAAGTTTCTTGGCCCTGGAGACAGGAGGGGCCTGAGGAGACAGAGGATGGACATCGTTGTGGTAAAGATTACCAATGAGTCTCTCCTGTGCTTTCCTCCTCCCTCCCCAAAACAGGTTAGTTTCCATTTTGGAAAGCCTGTGAGGGTAACAGGGATAGATAGCAAGAATTCTTCCCCCAAAGCAAGGCAGACTGGGCACGGGAAAGAATGACAAAGACAATGGGACCCAGTGGGGAGGAGGGAGGCGCAGACAGAACCCCATTGTACACGGAGGGGAAGGAGGGCCCTAAGCCCTGTCCTGTGATACTGACTGTGCTCAGCCACGAAACCTGGGGAGGGACGCTCACCCCCTTAGGTCAGCTGAGACCCAGAGTCCCTGCTAAGTCCCAGAAGGACAGGCACAGACAAAAGACAAATACAACTTGCAAAACCACAAGAAAAGGAAAAGCAGTCCAGTTCCTCTACACCCTGCCCTAGACTACAACAGGGCCACAGAGCAGAAGTGGCGATGATGGGAGAGACAGATGGCCCTTAACCAGGTTCCTGGATGCTCAGCCCAGGTAGGCCTCATGTCCCGGTTAAGGCTTCCAGCAGAAAAGTAATAAAGCGACATGGCAAGGCCCAAGAGGGACACCTAGCAGTCTGGCATAACACCCTAAAAAAGTCTTGAATTTTCCATGCGCCAAGGCTCCCAGACAAGTTTTGTTCTTGAGGCCTGTGGCAATGAATGGAAGAAAGGAGAATAATAAAAATAAAAATAAAAGTAAAAACCAGGGAGGCTTCAACTTTCTTCTCCAAACATGCACTCTCCCCCCTTCCCGCAACTCGGGCCACACAGGGGAGGATCCAGGGTGTGCTCAGGGAGAAAAGGGCCAAAGGCCAAAAGCAGGAGGAGGAAGCACCTCACAAGGTAGGGAAACTGAAGGGTCTTTATTGCCTTCCAGCCGCCATCAGTGTCCCAGCCACATGCTGGGAACCTCCAGGACTCTCCAGCCAACCCCGAGGAGGACCCGGGGAACCTGGCCGCAGTTCAGCTCTCTCCTCCCAGGGGATCAAGGCACTCCCTGGGGCAGACAGGGCAGCAGAGGGCCTCAGAGTGAGGGGCGGAGGGCTGAGCAGCATTCCCTGTGGAGAGGACGGGAGAGAGGGCCCCCCGACCACGGAGGGATGTCTCGAGGAGGAGGGCAGGGGGGTGTCATCCTAAGAGGGAATGACACCAGTGGCAAAGAGCACGATGAAGAGGATGACGATAAAAACAATCACACAGATGATGACGATCATCTTCACATTCTTCCACCAGAACTTCCGAGCCACCTTCTGCGATGTCGTCTTGAAGTGCTCAGACTGCAGGGGGTAAGGCAGAGTGTGAATCAGTTCCTTCTCCCACTGGGACAATAGCACACACACAGGCCCCCACGCCATCCATCTACATATGTAAGTGATACGTGTTGAAGTAACAGACGGTTACATAGAAGATGTCCGATCCTCCTACTTGGACAAACATACCTTCACAACCATCTGGCGGGCCAAGCTTAAATTTAGAAATCTTGGACTCCCCCTGGCCACCTGCCTACCCGCTTCTCTGCTTACCCCTGCACTGTCATTCACACATGCTCACACCCAGGGGTGTGACACGGGCAGCACAATCCACCCCTTAGGAGAACAGAGTGAGGTCCCACGATTCCCCCACCCCTGGGGACTGCTGAAGCTGCAGGAGAGGGGCCAGGGCAACACAGTGGTTGGAAGTGAGGGACTGTGCTTTCTCTCCAACTGGAGCTGCAGTAACTACGTTTCATGCTCCCCAGGTCGGCCTGTGGAAAGAAGCACTAAGTCCCAAGGAGACCACAGAACTGTGCCCACGATTACACATAGGACTCAGAAAGCCCCAGCCAGCATGTCCCCGTGGACAAAGAACTTTAGGCACCAGCCTTTGCTGAACTTTAGAGGAACTCCCTTCTTGAGCACCTGGCTGGAGAGAGAGAAGAATGAGGTCGAGCAGATGTGTGGGAGATGTTATTCTAGCCTTCAGCTCGCAGAGGACTCCATCCAAGAATGTCACTTCTCTTCCCAGCTTCTTTTTAAAGCTGACGCAGCAAGACTCTAGCAGTTTTCACTCCAGGAGAAGGCCAAAGGGCCTTACGGGGATTTTCCAAAGCCAATATTTTGGCCCGGGGAGGCCAGGTTCAAATGACTGTCAAGGGTAGCTTTCAAAAGGAAAACCAACTTCGAAGGAGAGAAGCCTAAGAATGCCTGGATTCTTAGAAAATGCCTCCATGGGTCAGTCCCCACCCACCAACCCCGGTCATTGGATCTATTCCCTGGACCAGTACCAACCGGTAGAGTAGAACAGGATCAGAAGCAAGGACTCTGCTAACTTCAATTCCCAAAACAGGTGAAGAGGCAGACTTCCCTCCTGTTCATTTTGCTCCGACTCCCAAATTCCCAAAGATCCTCCCTCCCTCCCTTCCTCTTGTCCCCAGTGGGCTCCCCATCTCACTGTGGCTTCCAGATCCTCTGTCTTGTTGCGAAGATGGTCCAAGTTTTCTCCTCGGGCCAGGATCCGCTCCACATTCTGGGTCATAATATTCTTGACTCCCTCCACCTCACTTTGCAGGTTCCGCACTCGGTCATTTCCTGCACCTCCACTGGCCTCCTCCTGGGCAGCAACACAGGGGTTAATTAAGCCATGTGGCAGAGGAACTGAGGCTCAGCATTGGAGGCTGAGGGGAAGGTGTAAGGTGGACTTTAGCTTTTTGCAGTGCTTGAATTGTTTACAAACAGAATGTCTCCAGGTTCTCAGGGCCTCTGCCAATGAAAAGAAGCACACCGCTGGGTTCCTCTCTACTACTTCCTTGCTCCTCAAAGAAGGTCAGAGGAGACAGCTGAGCTGACATTGCAAAATGGAAAACCCCACCATTTACCAATGCCCAGATCCTACAGTGTCCTCATTAAAAACGTCTGTGTTTGCTCAGTTTGGCTCAGTGGATAGAGCGTTGACCTGCGGACTGAAGGGTCCCAGGTTCAATTCCAGTCAAGGGCATGTACCTTAGTTGCGGGCACATCCCCAGTAAGGGGTGTGTAGGAGGCAGCTGATCGATGTTTCTAACTCTATCCCCCTCCCTTCCTCTTTGTAAAAAAAAAAAAAAAAAAAAAAAAAAAATCAATAAAATATATATATTTTTTAAAAAGAAAAAAAGTCTGTGCTGGCCCTACCTAGTTGTTCAGTGGTTAGAGCTTCGGCCCAAGGACTGAAGGGTCCCAGGTTCGATTCTGGTAAAGGGAATGCACCTCAATTGCAAGCTCACTTCCCTTGGAAGTTTCTCTCTCTGTGTCTCTCCCCCTCCCTTCCATTCTCTCTAAAAACCAAGGGGGAAAAAGTCCTCTGGTGAGGATTGACAACAACAACAACAAAATGTCTGCGCCAGTAAAACACCCTCACCTGGCGCAACCCTCCCTCCCTCTCTCCACGGGGGTGGCTGGAGAGCTGTGCTGGCACCCGCCTCCCGGCAGCCCAATGCCCTGACCCAGAGCACCGGCAGCCAGGCTCCCAGTTCCTCACAGGCCCGTGACAGCTAGCCGTTGGGCCACAACTTCTGCTTCTCCCCAATCCCTTTTAGCTTAGCTCCATGTGCAAACATGTCAGACTCACTGCCGGCGGGCCACATGCCTCGTTTATTTGGCCCCTGTTAGCCTCTGAGTTTGACAGGCTTGTACAGGGACCAAACAATCACCAGGTAAGTTGACATTAAGTCAAAACAGCAGCCTGGGCACTGGGGGAAATGGAGGGCCAGTCCTTCCCGCCGAAGGCCTCATCCCCAGGCTTCATGATAAGGCTTTTGAACAAGGAAGAGAAAACGTTATTAAGCTCCTCCCTCCCTAGACCCACTGGATCTCCAAAAACAGGGTGGGGTGTGGATCCACAGAAGAGTATCGCAGAGAACCGAGTTCTGGTTCTTTTACAAACTCTTAGTCCTTCCTTATGTGTATAAAGAGGGAGACTCGGAGAGACAAATTCTTAGGGTTTCTCTACACTACAGAGTCTATAGGGCAAAGTGAAAGACAGAGGGGGAGCTGAGCCGGAATCTGCGCTGGGAAACAGCAGCGCAGCCCAGGAATGTCACATCACCTGCCGGGCGGGCCTGGTGGGAGGGTGGCGGGAACTGGGGGAGGAGATGAAGGGCCCCTCAGGCAACTCCAGGCCTGGAATTCGCATTCCTCACCCCCACCGAGGCCCAGCTCTAGGTCGAGGGGAGGGGAGAGGGTTAAAGAACTGAGAGGAGTAGGAACAACAATTTCGGCAGCTCAGAGCTATTCGCGTTAGCTGTCAGCGCTGGCCCAGCCCTCTCACTTGCCACCTTCTCAGCTTTCCTGATCCCCAAGTCCCTCCGGCTTGTCTTTAAATCACCCCCTTCCCAGTTCCCAGCTCACTCACCATGTCTCAGCAGCTCAGGGAAGTCAGCAGCAGAACTCGCCTAGGCTGTCTCCTCCGAGGGCGGCCCTGAGTTCACTTCCTGCTCCAACTCTCAGCCCGCCTCCCCCTCCCTCCCCACCTGACAGCCCGAGCGGCTCCAGCCACACCTCACGCAGGTTCCCCCAGGTAGGCGGGCACCCTCCTCTGCCCTCCCCGTCTCCTCCCTAACCCAGGCTCAGGCTTAAAGCAACAGGACTCCCCGGCACCCCGAGTCTCCGAACTTGTCAGGACTCAGAAAAGAAAGAGGAAGTAGCCCTCCCGGGTTCCCTAAAGCTGTACTGCTGACAGAGAAAGGGCAGCCAGCTTCTGGTTATGACCGAACATCTGACTCCAGTTTGTAGAGATTGAAATAAAATTGGGATGGGACAGTAAGCCCCCTGCCAGGCCTAGTTCCTATGAAAGCAGAAAGCAGATATGAACACTTTCCTTCTTTTATTTTTTTAATTTTGCTTTTTAAAATGTTTTTTGTTTATTATTATTATTTTTTATCTTTAGATATGAACATTTGCTGAACAACGCTTGCTCTCTTGTCTGTAGATGGGCAGAAAGCTCTAATCCCCCAAAGTCTGGAGTGCCGCCATCCTGGGCTCAGGTATCAGAAAGCTCTGGGTTACCCGTGACCCTGAGTGAACCACTTCACCTCTCTGGGTTTTGCGGTGCTGAAGCCGACCTGGTGAGGCGTTCAATGTGCCCAGCACAGTGCCTGTGTGAGTCAGGAAGTGATGGCACATTCACCCTCCTTTCCTTTCAAAGTTCCATCATCTCGCGTTTCCCTTCAGGGGCACTCCCCGATGGGTTGGTGAGCCCCAACAGAAACGGGGAGAGAACTTTCCTAGGGACCACAGAGGGGGCCCAGGGCAAAGAATTTCTCCACCAACCTCGCTCCAGGCCAAAGAAAATCCACTCTTCCTGGACAGTGTTTATAAAGACAGAAGAAGAATAACAGGGACACGCAGGAGAGAAGCATTCCTGTGCCATCCCAGAAGAAGTAACAGTTCCACAGGGGAAATGTCAGCTGCTCTAACAAATACTTCTTAAAGGGTCCAATAAATGTTAGGCCTCTGTAGCATCTTGAAACTCTTTATTTTAATTTATACTGTAATCTTATCCCCAGTTAGATAAGATTATTATATTTTGCAGACCTGAATTTTATTTATATGTATATGTATATGTATGTTGTGTATTGATTTTAGAGAGAAAGGGAGAGGGACAGAGAGACAGAAATCACTGATAAAAGAGAAATATTGATCAGCTGTCTACTGGGGATCGAGCCCAGAACCCAGGCATGTGCTCTTGACCAGAATCGAACCTGGGACCCTTCAGTCCGCAGGCTAATGCTCTATCCACTAAGCCAAACTGGCTAAGGCTGCAGACCTGAATTTTGATGAACAATACCAGCCTGCTTTCACAGGAAGAGTTTGGCTGCCTCACTCCTTGCCCCATGCATAGAAAGGCTACAATGCGGCCAAGTGGAGGTGAGTCAAAAATCGTGATCTTCACTTGCACTGTCTAATGCAGTAGCCACTGGCCACATGTGGCTGTGGAGCCCTGGAAATGGGCTAGTACGAACGTAGACATGATGTAAAAGTAAAATACATGCTGGTTTTCAAAGACTTACTATGAAAAACAAAACAAAACAAAACACCATAAATACCTCATTATTAATTTTGTATAGTGATGACATGTTGATTAATGTTTTGGATATATTGAGTTAAATAAAAAAATATTGATAAAATTTATTTCACCTGTTTCTGTTCCCATTTAATTTGGCTAATAAATTTTTTTTAAATCAGCCGGGACCAGTTTGGCTCAGTGGATAGAGCGTCGGTCTGCAGACTGAAAGGTCCCAGGTTCGATTCCAGTCAGTCAATTGTGGGCACATCCCCAGTAGGGAGTGTGCAAGAGGCAGTTGATTTATGATTCTCTATCCCTCTCTCTTCCTCTCTGTGAAAAATCAATAAAATTTATAATAAAAAAAGACACAATATTTTTTTTTAAAATTACTGAGTCATTCCATATCTTAAGGATTTATTATCTCTTCTTTTTTAAATGTATTTTTATTGGTTTCAGAGAGGAAGACAGAGGGAGAGAGAGGTAGAAACATTAATGATGAGAGAAAATCATTGATCGGCTGCCTCCTGCATGCTCCCCACTGGGGATCAAGCACACAATCCAGGCATGTGTCCTTGAGTGGAATCAAACTCAACCCTTCATTCTGTAGGCCAATGCTGTATCCACTGAGCCAACCAGCTAGGGCCACATTCTCCCAGTTTCTATTAACATCTTACATTTTTTATAATTGATGAGCTAATACTGATATATTAACAAAGTCTATAGTTTATATTTCAGTTCACTCTTTGTGTTGTTCATTCTATGAACAACATTGACAAGTGTATAATAACATGTAAGTACTATGACATATTATATTGTCATACAGAATAGTTTTACTTTTCTAAAAATCCCCTGTGCTCTATCTATTCCGCCCTCCCTCCCCTCAGTCCTTGGCAATCACTAATCTTTTTACTATTTCCTATGGCATATTACAGTTATGCCTTTTCTAGGATTGCATAGACTTTGGATCATACAGTATGTAGTCTTTTCATACTGATTTCCTTCACTTAGCAATATGCATTTAAGTTTCCTCCACGTTTTTTAGTAACTTGATAGCTCTGTTTTGTGAAAGGGCTGTGTATGAAAAGCAGCCCCCAAAAGCTGAAGGGGCTGACAAGCCAAAAAAAAAAAAAAAAAAAAAAAGAGGCAGACAAGTCCAGCTTGTTGGTTTAGAGAGTTTATTAGGGAACTTATACAGAAAACAGTCTTGGGCATCAATAAGAAGAATGGATCCCCGAACCTTCCACCCCCAGATGTTAAAATCTGTGAGAGTGGGTGATGATCAAAAGGATCAGGAGCTGAGAGCCTTGGGTACCAGGGAGAGAAACATTGGGGCTCCTCGCCCTGAGAGAGAATTATTGGGAGTACTGTGATCAGCCCAGAGGTCTGCATTTCAGAACTCACCCAGAGGAAGGGGAGAGAGTCATGGGTTCAGGTTCACTCAGGAGTCAAGATGACAGATTAGTTTTAAGATGGGGTCACTTATGTTCCTAACAAGTTCATTTCATTTTATTGCTCAACATTCCATTGTATGAACGTGTCACAGTTTGTTTATCTGCTCATCTATTGAAGGATGTCTTGGTTGCTTCTTAGTTTAGGCAATTACAAATAATGTTGCTATACATTTGTATGCAAGTTTTTATTTATTTATGTTTATTTATTTATTTTTAAATATATATATTATTGATTTTCTACAGAGAGGAAGGGAGAGGGATAGAGAGCTAGAAATGTCAATGAGACAATCAATGACAGAGAAACACCACATGACCTCACTCATTTATGAATAATAAAGAACCCCATAAACTGGTGAACCAAAAGATAGATATAGAGACAGTAAAGCAACAAGCAGACTGTCAAATTACAGTGGGGAGGGGAGGAAGATCTGGGGGAGATAATAGATCAACCGAAAGACTTGTATACATGCATATAAGTACAACCAATGGACACAAAACTCTGGGGAGGGAGGGTATGTAAGGAAGGGAGGAAGGGGGGCAAAAAAAAAAAAGATTTGTTAAAATTTTAAAAATAATAATAAAAAAATTAAAAAAAAAGAAATGTCGGTGAGAGAGAAACATCGACCAGCTGCCTCTTGCACACCCCCCACTAGGGATGTGCCCATAACTAATGTACATGCCCTTGATCAGAATCGAACCCAGGACCCCTCAGTCCGGAGGATGACTATCCACTGAGCAAACCAGTTTCGGGAAGTTCTTATTTTTTAAAATATATTTTATTGATTTTTTACAGAGAGGAAGGGAGATGAATAGAGAGTTAGAAACATCAATGAGAGAGAAACATCAATCAGCTGCCTCCTGCATACCTCCCACTGGGGATGTGCCCACAACCAAGGTACATGACCTTGACTGGAATCGAACCAGGGACCCTTCAGTCCAAAGGCAAGACGCTCTATCCACTGAGCCAAACCGGTTAGGGCGTAAGTTTTGTATAGCATGCATTTTCAACTCATTTGGGTAAATATCAAGAAGCAGGATTGCTGGATCATATGGGAAGAGTATGCTTAGCTTTGTAAGAAACTGTCAAACTGTCTTCCAAAGTGCCTGTGTCATTTTGCATTCCCACCAGACGTGAGGGAGAGTTCCTGTTGCTTCACACCAGTACTTGTTGTTGTCACTGTTTTGGATGTCAACCATTCTAGCACATTTCCCATCGTTGTTTTCACTTGCAATTCCTTAATAAAACAAGATGTTCGACCCCATTTTATTTGAAAGGACATCAAACAAACTACAGTTATTCAAATTGGCACATTTGACTGATATTTTCCCAAAAATGAAAGAAGGGAGACACTAGACAGTATTTGTTGCCTTTGATAAAATGAGAACTTTCAAGTGAAAGCTAAAATTCTTATCTTGAAAATTAGAATTTGTATCTGGCACTGTGAACTGGGCAGCTTCCCAACACTGAAGAGACTCTGCCTTTGGAAAAGCTGCATAACTCAAGGAAACAGTGCATGCCAAAGGACTTTGTTTTCTAGTATTTTACTCAGGCATGATTTTATAATATCATCCTTGAGTAAAATGTCCATTTAAAATGCAAATTAGGTCCAGCTGGCATGGCTCAGTGGTTCAGCATCGACCTATGAACCAGGAGGTCATTGTTCAATTTCCAGTTGGGACACGTGCCCAGGTTGTGGGGCTCAATCCCCAGTGTGGGGCGTACAGGAGGCAGCTGATCAATGATTCTCTCTCATCATTAATGCTTCTCTCTCTCTCCCTTACTCAATAAAAATACAGATATTTTTTTATAAAGTGCAAGATTTTAATGTTATAGCACATAATGTTCATTGTTATGGTTTCAATTTCACATCTGAGTAATCTTTAAAAACTACCACATGCAAATTGGGTCAAAGAAGTATATCCACATTTATCTAGAAGGCCATTAAAATGCTTTTCTCTTTGCCTGGCCAGTGTGGCTCAGTGGTTGAATATCAACCCATGAACCAAGAGGTCACAATTCAATTCCTGGTCAGGGTACATGTCCAGATTTGCAGGCATAGAGGCAGCCGATCAATGATTTACTCTCATCATTGATGTTTCTATCTCCCTCACCTTTCCTCTCTGAAATCCATAAAAACAAATATTAAAAAAAAGTTTCTCCCTAGTCCAGCTAAGTATCTGTGAAGCCAGATTTCCCTCCCACACTTATATCAACCAATACCATTTCACAAGAGACGTATTGCAGAAGCAGATATGAGAATCCAGTTGTCTTCAGTTAAGCCTTCACAGTAAAGAGATTTACTCATAAGACAATATGAAGTATTCTTTAAAAAATTTTATTGTTGAAAGTATTACATAAGTCCCCCCTTTTCCTCCATTGACATCTTCTAGCCCACTCCTGCCCCCCACCTCAGGCCTTCACCACCCTATTGTCTGTGTCCGCTGGTTATGCATACAAGTTACTTGGTTGATCTCTTCCCACCCACCCTTCCCCGCCTTCTCTCTGAGGTTCAACAACCTATCTCATGCTTCTATATCTCTGGATCTATTTTTGTTTATTGGTTTATTTTGTTCCATATATCAGTGAGATCATGTGATACATACCGGTTTCCCTCAAAATAAGACATCCTCCGAAAATAAGACCTACTTACAGATTTCCTTCTGAGTGAAATATAAGGCATCCCCCGAAAATAAGGGCCCCCCCTAGGCTAAACATGAGAGATTTGGTCTACTGATTCTGAAAGAAATGGAGTCACAAGAAATTCACCAGGAAATTCAGGAATTGGATTGTTGTGATGATGTTCCAGAAGATGATGAAATAATTGTCATTGAATAAATGAGTAAATTCTTGATACTGTAGGATTCACAGTTTGTCTGGTTTGTGTTGACAACTACCGTACTACCGTACCGTATACAGGTAATACATTTCCTTTATTTTCATTTAACAATAAATGTGTACCGTATTCTTCTTCATGGAAAAATAAGACATCCCCTGAAAATAAGACTAGCGCATCTTTGGGAGCAAAAATTAATATAAGACATTATCTTATTTTTGGGGAAACAGGGTATCTTTCTCTGACTGGCTTATTTTGCTTAGCATAATATTCTCCAGGTCCATACATGCTGTGGCAAATGGTAAGAGTTCTTTAAATTAATTTCAGAGAGGAAGGGAAAGGGAGCCAGAGAGAAACATCAATGATGAGAGAATCATTGATTAGCTGCCTTCTGCATGCATCCCCTACTGAGGATCAAGCCTACAACCCAGGCATGTGCCATTCACAGGAATTGAACCTGGGACCCTTCTGTCTGCAGGCCGGCCGACACTCTCCACTGAGCCAAACCAGCTGGGCGAGTTTCTTTCTTCCTTCCTTCCTTCCTTCCTTCCTTCCTTCCTTCCTTCCTTCCTTCCTTCCTTCCTTCCTTCCTTTCTTTCTTTCTTTCTTTCTTTCTTTCTTTCTTTCTTTCTTTCTTTCTTTCTTTCTTTCTTTCTTTCTTTCTTTCTTTCTTTCTTTCTTTCTTTCTTTCTTTCTTTCTTTCTTTCTTTCTTTCTTTCTTTCTTTCCAGCAGCATAGCATTCCATTGTGTAGATGTACCACTGTTTTTTTAATTCACTCACCTGTTGATGGGCACTTAGGCTGTTTCCAAATCTTAGCTATGGTAAATTGTGCTACTATGAACATAGGGGTGCACATATCCTTTCTGATTGGTGTTTCTGGTTTCTTGGGATATTGTCCTAGAAGTGGGATCATTGGGTCAAATGGGAGTTCCATTTTTAATTTTTTGAGGAAACTCCATACTGTTTTTCATAATGGCTATACCAGTCTGAATTCTGAAGTACTCTTCATGCAATTTTGGTGATAATGTACCTTTATTAACAAAAATGCTAGTTATAAAATATTTAATGGATTTATTATTTTTCTAGTGAATCAATTCAAACTTTCCTCAATGTGGAAAAATATAGTCCACATTAATAACAGTTCTTTAAGGTTCTCAATGCTATGTCACAGTGCAGAGGGGTCCTGTGACCAGAAAATGTGAGAACTGCTGTCCTTGGATGCCTTCTCCTTCTCCTGCTGCCCAATCCCAGGGCAGAGAGTTAAGATATTACAGTGTTGACTGGTCTCTCTAAAAACCTCCCTGATGCCCTCGCCGGTTTGCCTCAGTGCATAGAGCATTCGCCTGCGGACTGAAGGGTTCCGGGTTTGATTCCCATCAAGGACTCCTCCCTGGCTTGGGCCCTGGTCTGGGCAGGTGCTGGAGGCAGCCAATTTATGTCTCTCACATGACATTCCTCTCTGTCTTTCCCTCTCCAAAAATCAATGGGAAACATCCTCTGGTGAGTATTGCAAAAGGAAAAAAAAAAAAAAAATCTTCCCTGCTGGACCACAGTCTACTACCCCTTTTCCGCATCCCCTCTTCAGTGATGCTGTTCCAGTTTCCCCGCTGCATCCAAACCGCTCTGGTTCTTGGCAGGTACCGGCGGATAAAGGAACTGGTTTACTTTCTCTGGGCTGGACAGCCCCTGCCAGGTGCGTCCTCAACTCAGCGGTCAACCATTAAGGGAAGAGTACGACATGTTCACATCAGGGAGCACTACAGGGACACTACCCCCTGGAGGGGCCTAAGGTCAGCGGGAGGGCTCAGAGGCGTCCTCCCGCATCCTCCCTCCACCACCAGGTGAGGTGAGGCCCGCCCACCCCTCCGGGCCCGCCCCGCCCCGCCCCGCCCCGCCCCGCCCCGCAGACCCCTCGCCCTGCCTTCTGCCGCCAAGCAGGGAGCCAGGATCCCGCCGGCTTACGGCCTTTCACGACAGTCCCAGCGCTTTCCGGCCGGCTGCTCCCGGCTGACGTGTCGGGGAGGCGGGGCCTAGGGGAGCGGCCCCTCGCCCGCGGGTGGATGCTGTGGGTATCTTACCCCGCAGGACGATGGCGATGTCCGCCCGGTCCCCGCGGGCCGCGCCCGCCTCAGGTAGGCTCAGAGCCCCCCCTGCGGCGGAGGGGGAGAGGGGCGCTGGTCTGGGAGTGGCGGGGACCGGAGGACGGGCTGCCCTGTGAGTCCTGGGGATGGGGCTTCCAGGCAGAGGTTGCAGCCTGCAGTTTGGGGGTGCTGTAGTCTGAGGAGGTGTGGGGCCTTGGCGCGCCCTGGAGGAGGGGCTGCCCTGCAGGGTGTTCCTGGTGGAGGTCAGCGGGACAGAAGGTAGAGATGAGGGAGGCAGAAGCCCTCGGATTGTTGGGGCTGTTGATTGGGGAAGGAGCCGGTTTTAAGCACCTCCACCTCACACGTGCACACACCTTTCTCTGTTTGTTGGTTACAGATAAAGTACGGAAAGACAAGACTGCACAGACCTCGGGGCCCGGTCAGGCCAGCCGCATGGGGAAACTCTTGGGTTTTGAGTGGACAGATGTATCCAGCTGGGGGAGGCTGGTGGCCCTGCTGAATAGGCCGATGGATCCTGCAAGCCTGGCTGTCTTCCGTTTTCTATTCGGTAAGTTCGACTTCTGGGAGGGACCGGTGTGATTGGGGCGGGAGAGTGACAATGGGAAGGTGATTGGAGATGGAAACCGTCAAGTGCCAAGAACTTGCAAACTGGGATTAGAGTCTGCTCCGATCCTTAGCCTTTGCTTTTCCCTTGTCCCATAGAGTGGCCTCTTATATACTTGATTGCTTGCATCAGGGGCTTATGAGCTTTGGGAGTATCACTGCCTCCCAGCCTTGTCTATTTCTTGGTTACTTACCTAGTGGACTTTCCTCCCCTTTTCTCACAGCGGGAGACATCAGTGTCCTGGAAGAGGGTATTTGTGGAGTTTAGGATCAAACCCAGCTTTGTCTCCTCTGATTAGTGTTTGGAGGCCAGAAATGCTTTGATCTGAGGCTAAAGGAAATACAGAGGCAGAGGAACAGGGATTCACTTTCCTTATGTCATGAAGGTGTTCAATAATTACACTAGGGACTAGACTTTAGAGAAATAGCAGACATGTTGGCTGTAACTCCCTAACTCAGAGCTCCCACTTGGCATGGGTTATGATATGCTGAGATATTAATCCTGATAGCTCAGTGGTTCTCAACCTCGGGCTTTTTTTTTTGGCGGGGGGGTAGGGGAGTGGAGACATTTGGCAATGTCCGGGGACATTTTTATTTGTCATATGTGGGGGGTGGGGATAGGTGGCTACTGGCATCTACATAAGAGCCAGAGATGCTGCTTATTGGACCTTTGATGCACAGGATAGTCCCTCCCAGCAAATAATTAACCAGCCCCAAATGTCAATGGTCCTGAGGTTGCAAAACACTGCCTGCTCTGGAGCTGCTTCCTGACCTGAGTGGCCCCTTCTGTTTACCCCGATGTGTTGGCCAAATACTGCTGTTTTCTGGGTGTGCCAGGAGGTGGGAAAGGTTGAGAAGCAAACACCATCCTTGAGCACTCTCTGTAGCCCAGTGTGACAGATCTTTGCAAATATTAACTATCAAAACCCGAACAGCTTTTATATAAACATTTTGTATGTTTCTATCACTTAATCCTCTCTGTAACCCTGTAAACCTTTTCCAAATGGGGAATTGGCATAGTGAGGTACAGTAGCTGATCACACAACTGGCATAGTGCCTATCAGAGGAGGTACTCAGTAATGCTTGTTGGATGAATGAATAAATGGTGAAGCCTGGTTAGGAAAGAAGGCTGACCTTGGAGCTAGATTCAGTCAACTGTACTCAAATATATTCTTTTTTTTTTTTTTTTAATATATATTTTATTGATTTTGTACAGAGAGGAAGGGAGAGAGATAGAGAGTTAGAAACATCGATGAGAGAGTCATCGATCAGCTGCCTCTTGCACACCCCCTACTGGGGATATGCCCGCAACCAAGGTACGTGCCCTTGACCGGAATCGAACCCGGGACCCTTCAGTCCCCAAGCCGACGCTCTATCCATTGAGCCAAACCGGTTTCGGCTGTACTCAAATATATTCTACTGCTTCCTTTGCTGAGGCCTCATGGCCCCTGTCTAACTGCCTTCTCAGGGCTGTTGATGGTGCTCGATATCCCCCAGGAGCGGGGGCTCAGCTCCCTGGACCGACGATACCTGGATGGGCTGGAGGTGTGCCGCTTCCCCTTGCTGGATGTCCTGCAGCCGCTGCCACTTGACTGGATGTATCTTGTCTACACCGTCATGTTTCTGGGTGAGGGGGAGAGGGAATATCTCAAACAGAGAAATATAAAGTGTGAGCATGGTCTTGGGTTCCTTATTCACTTCCCTTGTGACTCATAATTTCATCTTCCTGACCTGTGTGTCATCTGAGCTGTGACCCCATAGCTCTTTCTAAAAATATTACCATAACATTTAATTTTGATTTAGTTGTACCTGATTATAAAATGTCTGATGACTTTTCTTAATCCCACCCATAGCCTGTCCCAGGGGAGCTGGGCCTGTGGTGACCTTTGACCTATTAATTCTCTCCCCCCCACAAATCCCAGGGGCACTGGGCATGATGCTGGGCCTGTGCTACCGGATAAGCTGTGTGTTATTCCTGCTGCCGTACTGGTATGTGTTTCTCCTGGACAAGACGTCATGGAACAACCACTCCTATCTGTATGGTTTGTTAGCTTTTCAGCTGACCTTCATGGATGCAAACCGCTACTGGTATGAATCTAGGGAAAAAGTGGGGAGGGGTTGGCTGGGTCAGGATGTTTACCAGAGATAAGGGCCCTTTGAGGACCTAGAATTTACCCCAGCAAGAACAATTTCAGCGATGCTTTGCAGAGGTCACACTTTAATTTGGATGGATTTGGGAGGGGGAAGAGTCAGTTGTGGCACTTGGGATTACAAAAAGCAAAATGGCTCCATTCCCACCCCTTCACTCTTTCCGTATCTCCCCAGGTGCCTTGATCTGTGCACTTCCTGTAATCTTCTTAGAAGAAGAGAAGACTAAAGCCAGACATAGCTGTTTTCAGATACTGCAAGGGTGGTCATGTGGAAGAGGGAGCAGACTTTCTCTGAGTGAACCCAGAGGTGCAGAGTTAGAGCTCAGAGCAGAAGTTGCTGTGAGGCAGAGTCGTGACAGAAGGAGAGGGCCCCCCAGGGCTGCTCAGCAGTGCTGTCCTGGGAGGAGGTAACCTCCTCCGCCTCCGGTTTAGGTGGCCATCGTTCAGGGGAGGTGGAGAAGGGATCTGCAAACCAGATGGCAGGGCAGACGACCTTTGAGGATCTTTCCCGTTATTAAGTGAAAAGCAAATATGAGATCTCAGTAAGCTGGGTATACGTAAAAAAATCTCAAGCATTGAATTAATGATTTATCAGTCATGAAGTTTCATTTGCTAATACACACACACAAATACTCCTTTTGTAAAAAAATTCAGGATGGCCAGCTCTGATCATTAAGAGACAATTTTGGCAGAGTACTCCTGAAAAAAATTAAAAAAAAAAAAAAAAAAAATATATATATATATATATATATATATATATTATTGATTTTTTACAGAGAGTAAGAGAGAGGGATAGAGAGTTAGAAACATCAATCAGCTGCCTCTTGCACACCCCCTACTTAGGATGTGCCCGCAACCAAGATATGTGTCTTTGACTGGAATCGAACCTGGGACCCTTCAGTCTGCAGGCTGATGCTCTATCCACTGAGCCAAACCGGATTCGGCTGAAAGTTAAAAAAAAAAAAATACATACCATTTGCTTACTGACGAATTTCCAAATACCATGCTCAATACTAATTTTTCCTCAGTATAACCCCATGAGGTCCATAGTGCTTTCCACATTTTATAGATGAAGACATGAAGGCTTAGGGAAGTAAAAGATTTGCCTACGGCCACACAGCAGCAAGAGGCACAAGTGAGAATAGAAGTCTCCTTAGCTGTAGACTCCAGTGCTCTTGACCAGTGGAAGCTGCCCTTCCCCAGCTTCTCGGCTCATTCATTGTCTTCTTGAAAAGCTGCTTTGCTTCTGCTTCCCCAGAGCACATCTAGTCTTAGAGCCTGCGTTTATCCGTTCTCTCCCAAGGTAGGCTGTTAGTGGGGACCCTCTGGCACTAGATCCTGGCATCCAGGTCTACAGGTGTCAGTTTGTTTGGATATTGAAAAAAATTTCTAATCTATTTATATAAACCTCAAACTTTTTAAACACTTCCTTAAAGAAATTCTTTGCTAAATTCAGTCATATTCTAGCATTGTAGTCTTTTTACTGACTTTTCCCATTAGGACTAACTAATTTGCTAAATAACTAACGGTAAACACTGACCTTTTTACTGTTATAACTCACTAGTTAAATTTCTGTTATGAGTTAAAATAATCACTGTTCCAATTTTCTCATATAATTCTAAAGGGCGTCAAAATAGTCCAGAGGATCAGAGAGGGTAGAGGAATTGTCCTGATACAGATTATTACGTTTAAAAAGGAAGGTGGAAATGTGGCTGAACTCAGAAGCTGTCCTCAATCCTTACCTTACTTGGTGTAGGTCTGTGGATGGTCTGCTGAATACCCGGAAGCGGAATGCCCACGTGCCTCTCTGGAACTACGCTGTGCTGCGTGGCCAGGTACAAGGTCTTAGGAAAGAGGGAGGTGTCCTTCGACAGCCATTGTCAGCATGGCGATCCCACGGCAGATTGCACTCTGCTCTGCCTCCCTAGATCTTCTTTTTCTTCCCTTTTACTGGAAGGCTAGGCTGGCTTTCCTCTTTGTTTCCAAAACCCTATCTCACCTTGTCATGGAAAGAAATAGGGCTTTGTCCCTGCCAGGTTAGAATCCTCATGAGAGAGAATAATATCTATGCTTTATGACTCTCCTTGGTCCCTAATACTGTGCCTGGCATTGGTAGGATGTCAGTAGATACTTGTTGGATGAGTGAATATCTGAGATGAGTGAATAGAAGAATGGAACTAATCTTCCTTGGTCCCTCAATTGAGATGAGAACTTTCTCTCTCTTTCTAAATTTAAATTTTTTATTGTTTGAAGTATTACATGAGTCTCCTTTTCCTTCCATTGGCCTCTCCCTGGCCGCTACCACCCCCCAGCACGTGCCCTCACCCTGCTACTGTCTGTGTCCATTGGTTATGCTCATATGCATACATACACATTCTTTGGTTAATCTCTTACCCCTTTACCCTCTTCCCTCATAGGTTGGACAATCTGTTCGATGCTTCTGTATCTCTGGTTCTATTTTTTGTTCATCACTTTACTAGCATGTTGTTCATTATATTCCACAAATGAGTGAGATCATGTGATATTTATCTTTCTCTGACTAGAAAGTGAAATTATACTATTTCACTTAGTATAATGGTCTCCAGTACTCTTTAAAAATTTGTTTTGCATGCTGAAACTGGTTTGGCTCAATGGATAGAGCGTCGGCTTGGGGACTGAAGAGACCCGGGTTCGATTCTGGTCAAGGGCATGTACCTTGGTTGCAGGCATATCCCCAGTGGGGGGTGTGCAAGAGGCAGCTGATTGATGACTCTCTCTCATCGATGTTTCTAGCTCTCTATCTCTCTCCCTTCCTCTCTGTACAAAATCAATAAAATGTATTTTTTTAAAAATTTGTTCTGCATTTTGTGTTTGCAGATTTTCATTGTGTACTTCATTGCGGGTGTGAAAAAACTGGATGCAGACTGGGTGGAAGGCTATTCCATGGAGAACCTGTCCCGGCACTGGCTCTTCAGTCCCTTCAAGTGAGTGGCCATCAGGGCAGAGGCCTCACTGAAGCACAGGTACAGAGGGGGTGGCTCACCTCTGTCCTGTCTGCAGTAATGGCTGCTGTTCCTTCTTTGCCTGAATTTGCAACATACTTTCCTCTGTCCACTCATCTCCCCATTCAGCAGAAGGCTGCCCTTGTGAAACTTATGCTGTAGGTGGCAATGGAGGGAAATAAATTTAAAAGGAAGGGGAAAGCTTGGTGCTTGAGCATCAACCTATACACCACGAAGTCTCTGGTTCAATTCCTGGTCAGAGCACATGCCCAAGTTGTGGGCTTGATCCCTAGTAAGAATTGTGCAGGAGGCAGCCTATTGATGATTCAATCCCATCGATGTTTCTATCTCTCTCTTCCTCTCCCTTTCTTTCTGAGATCAATACAAACATTAAAAAAAGAAAAAGGAGAGGAAAGAGCTAGAACTAGGTGACTTGGTGAATGAGTTGGTTGCCACCCCTGCCTCTCCAGGACCCCTCAGCCAATGCACTGAGAAGATGGACAGTGTTCCTGCCCTGACAGAACCAATGCTACCAACTCTCCTCAAAGCAGAAGTTCGCCTCTCTGACTTCTGTCCTCCTCCCATTTCTTCTCTTTTTTTGCTTTGTTCTTTTTCCTCTTCCTTGGTATTTCTCAGTTCCTGTAGTTTGACTTCAGAATCATATTGGTCAAGCATTCACCTTAAAAAAAAAAAATTCACACACACATATACACACACACACACACACACACACACACACATATATATATATATATATATATATATATATATATATATATATATTTCAGAGAGGAAGGAAGAAGGAGAGAGAAATAGAAACATCCATGATGAGAAAGAATCATGGATCGGCTGCCTCCTGCAAGTCAAGCATTCACCTTTAAAAAAAAAAAATTCACACACACACACACACATATATATATATATATATATATATACACACACACACACACACACACACACACACACACATATAGATTTCAGAGAGGAAGGAAGAAGGAGAGAGAGATAGAAACATCCATGATGAGAAAGAATCATGGATCAGCTGCCTCCTGCAAGTCCCCCACTGGGGATCGAGCTTACAACTCGGGAATGTGCCGTTGACCAGAATCGAACCTGGGACCTTTCAGTTCGCAGGCCGACGCTCTAACCACCGAGCAAAACTGGCTAGAGCTAGCATTCACCTTTTAAAATTTTTTCTAATTTGTAACCTCTATGCAGAGCCTCCCTTCCACAGCACCCACACTTCTCCATCAGATTTGCCCTAATTTGCCCTTGCTTCTGACAGAGGGTATGTTGAAAACAGCTGGACACCTAATGGGCGTAGAAATGCACAGTGGTTGGTAAACCTCTGGGGTGTACTTTGTGCAGAGTTCTACCCACCCGCTGGAGAGGCTCCTTTGGCAGGGACAGGGTAGCAGGGGTGCATTTGCTGTGAGTGTGCCGTGTCAGCCAGGCTCCCAGTGGGCAGGTGCCTGACCCCTGTCCCCGGTGCCCGCAGACTCGTATTGTCGGAAGAGATGACCAGTCTGCTGGTGGTGCACTGGTGCGGACTGCTCCTTGACCTCTCGGCTGGTTTCCTGCTCTTCTTCGACGCCTCAAGATCCGTGGGCCTCCTCTTCGTGTCCTACTTCCACTGCATGAACTCCCAGCTTTTCAGCATTGGTGAGTACCTGTCATCCGGTAGGAAATAGGAAACCACAGGGAGGGGCTTGCCAGAGGCGTTGCTTGGGACTGGGAGATGATGGGAATAGCAGCCACACTGAGCCTGATGCAGTCACTGTGGCGTGGAAATAAACTGGGAAGAGAGAATTGGGACTTCTGGGCTCAGCTAGTATGCTGTGTAGTAAGGGATCTCTGGGAAGTAAGTATCCTTTACTTCAGAACTTCTTTTATCAGAAGTGGGATACTTGAGAGAGGTTTCTTAAGGGAAAGGGGTCAAGGGGATTACCTACATCTCCCCAAATCGAACTCCTGAAATGCTTCTTTTCTCCTTGCTTTTCTAGGGATGTTCCCCTATGTCATGCTGGCCAGCAGCCCTCTCTTCTGCTCCCCTGAGTGGCCTCGGAAGCTGGTGTCTCACTGCCCCAAAAGGCTGCAAGAACTGCTGCCCCTCAAGGCTGCCCCTCAGCCCAGTGCCTCCTGCGTGTATAAGAGGAGCCGGGCCAAAGGCAGTCAGAAGCCAGGGCTGCGCCATCAGCTAGGCACTGCCTTCACCCTGATCTATCTCCTGGAGCAGCTCTTCCTGCCCTATTCCCACTTCCTCACCCAGGTATGTGTAGGCTGGGGTTCGCGTGGAGAGTGCAGAGTGACGGCCACGGGGAAAGAATGGCTGGTCATGTAGCCCTTTGTTGATAGAGGATGGGATTAGCCTAAGAACCATTAAGCTGATTTCTTCTGCCCTGCCTTCTCAGGGCTATAACAACTGGACAAATGGACTCTACGGCTATTCCTGGGACATGATGGTGCACTCCCGCTCCCACCAGCACGTGAAAATCACCTACCGTGATGGCCGCACTGGCGAGCTGGGCTACCTTAACCCCGGGGTGAGATTTCTGATGCTGACAATGTATTGTTCTTCAGAGCTTCCTTGAGCTTTGGGGTCTGGTTTGGTCCTAAACACAATTGTAAAATAAAACAAATTTGGGCCACTCCCCTTTCTCAGGGGCCAGGTTCAACCTTCTTTTGTGTGGGTTGAAATAGGGCAGTGTCAGTCACCTCCTTAAACTGAGATCAGATTTAAGAAAGGTAAGTAAACCACTAGCCCAGCAAGGAAAAATTCTTCCCCAAAAACAAGGTGTTTTTTTTCCTGGTCAAACCACCAGATCTCTTTGTCCCATTGGCAGTGCATGACTCATCCAGGAGGCAATACGATGAAGTGGGACTAATATGGGGGTTTGGGACAGGTATTCACACAGAGCCGGCGATGGAAGGATCATGCAGACATGCTGAAGCAATATGCCACTTGCCTGAGCCGCCTGCTTCCCAAGTACAATGTTACTGAGCCCCAGATCTACTTTGATATCTGGGTGTCCATCAATGAACGCTTCCAGCAGAGGTGGGCAAGGGGAGCAGGGAAGGGGGAAAAATTAAATTCAGCTCCTTTTGCCAAGATGATTAGGCCACGCTCCCCAGTGCTGTCTTGCTTGAAAGGCTGTCTGTCCTCTGGTGCATGTCCCTGTAGAACTGGTTGTGGGCATAGCTGATTGCTTCCAGCAGGGGGCCCCATCACCCAGAAGAAAAGGTAATATGACTTGTTCTGCTAGAAACTTAACACCATTCTCAGATGGCCACTAATCCTCATTCTTCCCAGTGCTGCAGAATCTCTTTCCCCTCTGTGCCTCAGACTGGTCATAACGTGCTGACACAGGCCATGTTTTCTTTCTGGAAACCCTGTTCCCTCTCTCTGGGAATGGTGATGAGAGAAACAGAACTGGACATTCTGATGGGTAGGTGGCTATGGCCTTTTTAAAACATGGTTTTCTTTCCTAAGGCTTTTTGACCCTCATGTGGACATCGTGCAGGCTGCCTGGTCCCCCTTCCAGCCCACCCCTTGGCTGCAGCCACTGTTGATGGACCTGTCTCCCTGGAGGGCCAAGTTACAGGAGATCAAGAGCAGCTTGGACAACTATACTATGGTGGTCTTCATTGCCGATTTCCCCGGTATGGAAGAAAGCTAGGAGGCTTTGCTGTCTTTCCTCCTTGCTTCCTTGGTCAGGGACCTTGCATGTGGTGGAGAGGGGAGGGGTCCTCATGGTGGGAGGAATGTTTTTGAAGTCTGAGAGGTGGTAGTGCCTGTTCGGGCTGGAAGTAAGTTCACTCACGATGGGCTTTTGGGAACTTGGTTGTCCCTGTCAGGGCTGCACCTAGAGAATTTTGTGAATGAAGACCTGGGCAACACTAGCATCCAGCTGCTTCAGGGGGAGGTGATTGTGGAGCTGGTGGCAGAACAGAAGAACTATACTCTTCAGGAGGGAGAAAAAATGCAGGTATCTTGCTGGAATTTAGATGAGTGGAGTTATTATAGACTCAATGTTTCACCACAGCAGTAACATTGTGGGGGGCTCAAAAAAGTAAAGATCCCTGGGGCTGTGAATTGCCTCATCTAGGGTTCTAGAGGTCCGTCCCGTTGGACTCCAGAACACAGTAAGAAAAAAGATGCCCAGTGTGTGGGGAGCGGGTGGTGTTAGGAGCCCATAGGCCGACTAGGAAAAGTTTAAAGAGTGAAATATATTCATTTCTATCCCCTGCTCAGTTGCCTGTTGGCGAGTACCATAAGGTGTACACAGTGTCACCCAGTCCTTCCTGCTACATGTACGTCTATGTCAACACGACGGAAGTTGCACTGGAGCAAGAACTGGCATATCTACAAGAATTGAAAGAGAAGGTGGAGAATGGAAGTGGTGAGTAAATAAAGATTCGGGCTGAGGTAACCCCCGAGAACAAGAAGTTAGGGTTGTAAATGAGGATGTAGCCATCCAAAATGGAACTTGAAGCCTCTAGCTGGTGAAAGGGGAGATGTAGGAGAGAGAATGCCCTCTCTCTTTCTCTCTCAGTGATTCCTCTTTTTTGCTGACTTGGAGCAGAAACAGGACCTCTACCCCCCGAGCTGCAACCTCTGCTAGAAGGGGAAGTAAAAGGAGGTCCTGAGCCAATACCTCTGGTTCAGACCTTTCTTAGACGCCAGCAAAGGCTCCAGGAGATTGAACGCCGGCGAAACTCCCCTTTCCATGAGCGATTCTTCCGATTCTTGAAGCGAAAGCTCTATATTTTTCGCCGCAGGTAAGTTTTACCCACAATACTGTTGCCATCAGATATTTGCAAGTTTGGTAACTTCTCTGGTGAGAGTAATAGTAGGGACTCTGTCCCAAGAGAGGACTTAATGGAAGAGTAAATGATATGTGTCTGACAGCCTGCTGTCTTGCTCTGCCCAAGTTTACCTTCAGCCTCCCCATGGGTTATTCCTGCCCCATCCTGGAATCCTACCAGACTGTATAAGGAGTGGGGTGCCTCCATCTGGGATAAGGGGGCCCCTGTGAGACATTTCTCATTTGTGTCTGTGTGAGAAGGTAGGACCAGGTGTCCCGTAAGGGCTTTGGTAGGAATTCCCATGTTGAAACAGCAGTTTGGACTGGGTGGCCTTTTTCCTCTTTTTCAGCTTCCTGATGACTTGTATCTCACTTCGAAATCTGGCGTTAGGTCGCCCTTCCTTGGAGCAACTGGCCCAAGAGGTGACTTATGCAAACTTGAGACCCTTTGAGCCACTTGGAGAGTTGAATCCTTCAAACACAGATTCTTCAAATTCTAATCCTCCTGAACCAAATTCTGAGCATATCCACTCAGAGTTCTGAGGTGGGGGTTAGACATTGGGTACAGCCAGTCACAGGACCATTACCTGTGCAGTGGAGATGTGAAAAAACTTTTACAGATATTTATATTTTTCTTCCTTGTCTATAGCTCTTTTAAATTCAGAGATGATATCTTAGAGAAAGGGGCCAAAGTAAAGCAAGGATAAGCTTTATCAATCCAATGTTTAGAGGCCAGGAGGGGGTTAAAAGCAATGTGAAAAGGTCCTTCTACCATAAAGGGACAGCCAGGTGTAAAGTGACTGGCTCCTGGGGGAAAGAGATTTTACGTACCATGAAGAAAATAGTAGCTAAGTGTTCTCAAGTGCTTGCCATATGCACAGTGCTTCACACAGTGCCTACTGTTACATTTAGTCCTTAATGGTCATTAGTCTTATTTTACAATTGGAGAAACTGACATTGAGAGGTACTATAATTTGCTCAAAGACATAAACCTAGTAAGGGATGGATGGTTTGAACCTCATGACTGATTTAAGGTCCTTCACCCTGTCTCTTGTAATTTTGAGAATCACAATCATTCTGAAATAATGTAACTTAAAACTTGTCTTCTTAATTATAGGTATGATGATTTAGGATGGTGATCAGGTTCTGAATGCATAAATTTTCTCTTCGCTATAATTCTGGTTCCTTCTTAGTTTCTCATATCTACTTTTCCTGTAAGTTTTTCACTAGAAGTTATGAGAGGATAATAGAAAGTTAAAATATAAGGAAATTTAGATGATTGGTATTAGTATTTTTCTAAAAACAAGCTTAACATTTAGCATTATTATAGCATTTAATGAGAAGGTAAAGTATTAACCAAACTTGGTGAGGGGTAAGGGAATTAAGTTTGGATATACAAGGAAACTCCTCAGGTCCATGAATGTTCAAAGGCCTGGCACTGGGCTAGGAAGTGAGAATGCAGTTTTTAAAGAAAAGAGCTCATGGTCTGGTAACAGAATGGCAGTCCCAGTACTTTGGTAAAAGATTGCATCTGTTGTCAATCTTCCCGTGCCCTACCCCAGGTAACCCCCTTAAGACAGTGGGGTCAGGGTTCTTTCCTAGGCACTTTTTTACTGAACACACTATTCTATGGTTTCCAGTGATGCTATGCTTAGATTTTTTTAAAAAATATATATATTTAGATTTTTTACAGAGAGGAAGAGGGATCGAGCGTTTGAAACATCGATGAGAAACATTGACCAGCTGCCTCTTGCACACCCCTATTGGGGATGTGCCCACAACCAAGGTACATGTCCTTGACTGGAATTGAACCTGGGACCCTTCAGTCTGCAGACAGACACTCTATCCACTGAGCCAAACCGGTTTCGGTTATGCTTAGCTTTCCTGTGCCCTAGACCTGTATGTATGTCTCTAACTGGATAGCCCAGAGCTTTCAAACCCTATCCTGAATAGAACTTAGCTTCATTTCCAACTCAAGACCTGCTCCTCCTTTATTAGTGAATGGCAACTAGATTTTTTTTTCCTTCTAAGTCATCAGTCTCAAGTCTTTTCCTCACATTTCTTGTAATTTCAAGTCCTGTCAGTTCTACCTCTTATTTAAATCTATTAATTCCATCTGTTATAGGGAGATAAGAGCAGGGCTACCATGCAGATGTACAGGTTTGGCCACGTGGGGCCTGGCAGTGAGTCCCTTTGATTCATACAAGGCATTGTATGCAATGGCTGTGCCACAGTGCCATTAACGGATTGGTTGCCTCCCTAGAATTGATCTTCTGAGCAGCAGTCACCAAGGTACAAGCCTGGGAACCAAAGCCATGACCCTTTGGTGTGTGCAGGCCAACGCACTAGCCACTGAGCAACACCAGACAGGGCACCACAGGTATTGAGCAAGAATGGTGTGGGGGAAACTGCACAACTCTGATGCAATGCATCTTAGCATTATGTCCTTTGCCAGCAAGTTCTATCTTCTGTTCCCAGACCCACCAACCTCTCCCCTTTGCTAATAGCAGCTTTCTCCTTTGGGAGGGGATACTCACAAGGGTGCTGCTATTCCCTGACTAGTGTACCACCGGATTTCCCAGTGGAAATGCTAGGATGGGATAGTGAAAGGGTGGTCCATCCTAACATTGGTAAACATGGTCCAATGTAATAAATCTGGGGTATTCAGATTTCAGGAGGAATCCAGTCTAAAATCTGGCTGCTTTTGGGAGTGTGTTATCTATGTCCATTAAGCTAGAGGCATTTTAGTATTCTATGGCCAGCATTTGGATTCTCTCCCTCCCCCCCCCCATCAATGTCACCCTTTAAAACTTTGCAAAGGCAAATGAACTTTTGGACATTCTCCATGCCTTTGCTCTTCTCCCTAGATTCATACCCCTTTGCCTTCCCATCTTTAAAATCCTCCCCGCCAAGAGGAAAAGCACCTTCTTACACATCTTCCTAGTTATCTGGAAGGCAGTTACTTGCTGCCCCTCCATCCTGCAGGGTCCACTCCTCAGATCCCCTTTACTTGGCCAACATATCTGTCTTCAGATGGCAGTGCATTATCTAAGCATTCCGAACCTTCTGGGGCTTTTCCCTCTAGTGAAAGTTGAAGCTCTTTTCTGAGCAAATTATAGAAACACCCCTCAATCTCTAAAAATTTAAACCTCCAGGTAAGCAAGTGTAAGCATTCCTTGAGTCTCACATTTGCAGCAGGTGAAAGTAAAAATTGAACCACTACTTGACTTCCCACATGTGCTGTGTAAACATGTGCCAGCTGGCGCATGGCCATCTACACTTCAGCTCCTAGACAAAAAAGTCTCAAAGATATGTGGAATAAGTTCCTTTTATATATAAACTGCCACAAATTTATAGTAACCATTGGAAATTTGTACCTTCACTGTTTTTTAATAAATTGTAGTTCATTTATTATCCTAACTTGGAAGCCGTTTGCTGTTTTAGAAACTTCAACTTTGCAACCTCCAACACCTATTTGAAAATGGGTTTATAGATTTTTAAGACTGAACATTACCACTTCCTTAATACAGGTATCCCCCTCACTTTCCAAGTTTGCAGTAGGCCACTTCTCTTTTAAAGACCTGTTAGTACCTGTTTAGGCTGACAGGAATCTGAAGAGGCATTTTGCGTTTATGGGAGTGTATGGGGGAGAAACAACAATCTATTACGGAGTCTGTTTTAGTTCGTTTTATGCCCTCCATCTTAGATAATGCAAAACACTGGCAGTGTAGCAATGGCTGCTGTAATAAAGACACATTAGCCAAAAGGGCAGTGCTTAAAAAACCAAACCTTGAACTTCCTTAGTGCTGGGATAGATGAATTTCTAAACATATTAAAGGCCTGCAGTCAGGATTGAGACGATTGCCCTAAACAATGGGTGGAATTACAATTAATCAAGGTCGAGTCTTTTCTCAGATCACATTCATATCAAATACTTTTAAGAAATGATGGACACAGTTAAGGTAGAACCTAGCATTTTATTTAGATCTTCATTAAACTGTTGGAATTGAGAACCAGACATACGTAATAAACCTCCAAAAATAGATCCTGAAAGGCACTTTCTGCTTAGGGCAAGCAGTCATGGAATAAGCATGTAAACAAGCTGGCTTCTCTGTACCACACCAGCCAAGTCAGCTTTCTCCATGGCCAGCTGCACCAGCTCTGCCCTCCCTTGTTAACACCAGCCAGAACCCCTGTAGGTCTAACCCAAGGTTTTTCTGTAGGACACCTTGGCCTACCTGGGAATGCTGGAAACATATTAAAGGAATCATGGTGTTGAGGAAAAAAAAATCTTTTAAAAGCTGCCATCTGAGGTGATGGCTTCTCTGTACTTACGCCATACCCCAGAATACAATAAATAAGCAATTAGAAAATGTTCAAGTATGAAGGGATTTTCCTCCTCCCCGCCAAAAGCACTGCTGTCTGAAGGAAGCTGGTTTCTCTGTAGCTACACCAGCTGTTCAGAAAGCTCATTGGACCTGGTTTTGAAAACAAAACAAAGTTAAAACCTTGGGAGGAATTATTGTGCAGTGTGGAGTACTTAGTCTTTCTTAGAAAGAAAAAGAAAAAAAAAAAAAGTTATCTGGTACCAAAGTGTGCAACCTACAGACCCTCAGGTACTGCCCTATGACTTCTCTGTATATCACAAGGGTGCCAAGTGCCTGTTTTTCTAGAGCTAGGAGTTGGTGGTTTGGCTAGTGCTGAAACCATGCATAGGATTGGTTTACTAAATAAAACCTTATTACGTACGTCCTCCAAGACAGCTGAGTAAGTAGAAAGATTTGATTTGGTGCTGTTTAAGAGATGGCAATTAAGAGCATAAGCACCAGGGAGATGGTTTAATGGTAACTGCCTTTTTTCCCCGTCAGGCTAGAGCTCCATCTGGAACTTGCGTTACATGCAAGAATGATTGAATAGGGAACACTCCCTGACAAAAAGCTACATAATTAGAAATGGATCATGTTATAGGGAGGATAAGGAAAAGCTTCACATCCATAATAGAGCTGGAGACATTACAAATTCATGCTGACAGGGCTGTGGTATTGCCAGACAGAAGCTATAATAATGGAACTACTAGTACTTTACGTGCACATTACAAGGACATTTTCAGCATTTGGTGAGAAAGTCAATGCAATTAGAATTTTAAGGGGGTTGGATGATAGGGCACAAAGGTTCAATTTCAAAGCATTATTTACTACAGTGTCGTTGGTTTGTTTCTAGGCAGTTACATGGATCACCTATGCTCACTAAATTCATTATAATGGTGAACAACAAAAAAAAAAAACACCTAGGGACAGAATAGCAAGCGAACTTACAGTCAGTCCCCCACACAAGCTAAAATTCATGTCATTGACTAGAGTGACTGCAACTGCTCAGGAGCTGAAAGAGGACAGGAAATTTTAGGAAGAAGGGCCCTTTCCCTCAGAGCTTGAAGGCTTCTCTGTAGCCTACGCCAACAAGTCTGGGGAAAAAAGGCTAACACTTTTAATATTTAAGCTTTCTGGGCACTTCCCATGGGAAGCTGTCCCTACCAAAGTGGCCAT